AATTAAGTCTCTGCTTGCCTTTAATTCCACCTGAGTGCCCATGTGTATATGTTCCTCTAACAACCGTACTGCACCTCTGTGAATCATGTTGCCGGGGCCAGACAATGCTCTTGGCAACAGGCAGCCAGGTCAGGCTTGGCAGCATCCAAACCCAGACACCACACAGGGGGCCGGACTTGGATTTCTGGGCATGTGTGATCCCAGTGCGAGTCCTCACTCAGACATGAAACTCAGTGGGTGACATTGACAGGTCACGATTACTCAGCCTAACCTACCTCACCAGGTTGTTATGGGGATAACAGGAGGGTGATGCAGACACTGCCCTGTGCATCTTAGAGGAAATGCAGGGGAAAATGTAATTGATAAATAAACGCTGAAGTAAACAGCACCTCCCAGCAGTTCCACAGGCAGCAGTTTCAGAACTGAGTTGCTGGCAAAGCCAGCCCTTTCCTTCAGATATGTGCGTGCACGCAAAATAGATAGACTATTTAAGATATATGATCATACTGTGGTGGGTATTCAGATAAGGATTTCTCCCCCTTCCTGTTCCCATGCTGCTTTCCACTGTAAATCTCTTCCCACACCCTGGCAGCTGCTATTTTGCTCCGTAGGAAATACTTATGGCTTATGTTTATGCTTATTCAGTCAGATTTGGTTCCACGGAAGTTTACAAAATTTGATTCCAGAGCAGAGTACATTAAAACATTGTTTTCCAATAGAATGTGAGTGGAGGGAGACTCTGCTTGAACACAATCAAACACTGCTGAGGGTTCTTCATCGAACTACCTAGTGGCAGTGAAGGAAGCAAAAGTAAGGTTGCCATATTTCAACAAGTAAAAACCAGGACACCCCAAAAATTGTTGAGCTTGCACTCTGGACCCTTGCATGTTTTAATTGATAAAAGCTAGCAAGGAAGGGACAGCTGGCTGGGACAGGGGTGGTCCCTGCCTGCTTGAAGGAAGCAGTGGTAGAACCACTCCTTAAGAAACCCTCCCTGGACTTGGAAAATCTAACAAACTATTGGTCAGTTGCTTTCCCCCTTTTGGGGCAAGATTCTTGAGTGGGGGGCGGGGGAGGGAGATCAGATCCAGGCAGTCTTGGATGAAACTGATTTTCTAGCTCCATTTCAATTGGGGTTAGGCCAGTTTTGGCACAGAAACTGTTTTAGTTGCCCTGCATAATGACCTCTGTCAAGAGCGAGACAGGGGAAAGGTGTCCTTGTTAATTCTCCTCAGCCTATCAGCTGCTTTCAATACCATCAACCACAGTATCCTTCTGGAGCAGCTGTCTGAGTTAGGGGTGGGTGTCATTGCTTTGCTGTGGTTCCAGTGCTACTTAGATGATTGTTTCAAGAGGGTGATGCTCGGAGAGTGCTCTTCAGCCCCATGGAACCTTCAATATGGGGTTGGATTCCATTTGTGGAATCTTCTCCCCAAGGAGGTTTGGGGGGACACTTTCAAGTACAGTGGTACCTCTGGTTAAGAATTTAATTTGTTCCGGAGGTCTGTTCTTAACCTGAAACTGTTATTAACCTGAGGTACCACTTTAGCTAATGCGGCCTCACGCTGCTGCTGCTGCGCCGCCGGAGCACGATTTCTGTTCTCATCCTGAAGCAAAGTTCTTAACCCGAGGTACTATTTCTGGGTTAGCAGAGTCTGTAATCTGAAGCGTCTGTAACCTGAAGCGTCTGTAACCCGAGGTACCACTGTATACACCTTTAAGTGCCAGGTGAAATCATTCCTCTTCAACCAAGCCTTTGGCTGGTTAACATCTATATCAGGGCAGCCCAACTGTTCTGCACACACACCCTGGTCAGATATTTAGTGATAGCAAATCTGTGTATTAGTGGTAGGTAGAAGGAATAACAATGCTGCCCCTTTCAGAAAAGATAGTGCCTTTCCCCCTTTTTGGACCCCAAGGCAGGTTGGGAAATGTAGGCACAGCAATAGCCTACTTTCTATTGGCTCTGCCAGAGAGTGGGAAAATATCTCCCTTCTAGAGCGGGAAGAAACATCCTTTCCTCCTTTGTAATCTAGTGGCAGTCTAGTTATCGCAAACCCAAGATGAAGGGCGAATTCACTTCATCCTTACAGAGCTCCACAGAGAACTTCACAGAAAGCTTTTAACCATCTTCATTCAGAGCCACAGAACAGCCTATTGGAATGTGGATAATATTTCTACATGTGCCTTGATTATCTTCAATGAATCTATGTACGAGAGCTTTGGGGAGTCTTGTTAATACTATCCAGAAAGAGAGCAAAATCTCCAGATGGTACAGTAAGGACAGTCTCTCTAACAAGAATTTGCATGTGTAAAGAAGAAAGTGGTTTACAAATCAGCCTTCCCTTTGTACATGTGAAACTAGCCCTGTCTCCCAGAGCAATTTACAAATGCAAACACTGTTTTAAAGTCTAAATCAGCAAGAAAAGTGCATCCTGCTTTTCCTAGCAAATTTATGCAACTCTGTAACTCTCCACACCCAGGAAGTCTTCTCCATTGCAATTCCATGGAAGTGCTAATTCCCCATTGCAAAGCTCACATACCTTCTCAAGCAGCTAAACTGGAAGATTACAGGAATAAAACTCTAGAGAAAAAGGCACAGCTAAAAGCAGGGGTTAAAAAAAAAAAGCAAACTTCTTAAGGAAGATATTCCTATCCTTTCTGCCACAGCTAAGAGGGTCAAGGACTTTTGGCAGCAGTGTTACCATGTGGCTCAAAACTGCTATTGCGGTTTTAATATTCTAAATTCTGCAAGCCTTCTGAGAGGAGGAACTGACCCTTTTGACCACATGGCTAGGGCCTGCTTCCTCAGATCAGGCAAGATGCATCCATGCAGCTCTAGTGGATGAACAAAAACTAGCACTCCAGCAAGTTTAGGAGCGCCATGACTTCAATCTTTTCCAAAATTGACTATGAGGGATCAAACTGTGGGACTTGGCAGACATACTATTCAGGCTGGCAGCAGCTAAAAGAAATCAACAGCTACCTGGCCTTGCGTGTCTTGATCAACACATGTCCCAGAAAGAAATCACAGCTAAGCTTCTGCTACCTCTACACAAAAGGTGGGGTACAGAGGTCACCACCTACAAGGAAAAGCATGGTGGTGCCTATCCCCCTTTCACAACCGTTTTTCCATTTGTCACACAGATCATGAAAGAAAGAAGTGACCCACAAACTGACTTGGCTGGATTCTATGGAGATTCTTAAAGGTAAAGGTAAAGGGGCCCCTGACCATTAGGTCCAGTCGTGACTGACTCTGGAGTTGCGACGCTCATCTCTCTTTATTGGCCAAGGGAGCCAGCGTACAGCTTCAGGGTCATGTGGCCAGCATGACTAAGCTGCTTCTGGCAAACCAGAGCAGCGCATGGAAATGCCGTTTACCTTCCCGCTGGAAGGTATTTATCTACTTGCACTTTGATGTGCTTTCGAACTGCTAGGTGGGCAGGAGCAGGGACCGAGCAACGGGAGCTCACCCCCTTGCGGGGATTCGAACCGCCGACCTTCTGATTGGCAAGTCCTGGGCTCTGTGGTTTAACCCACAGCGCCAACCGCGTCCCTCTATGGAGATTCTTACAAAGCGAATAAATCCACTAGGGACATCACACCCAAAGTAGTGCTTTCAGTGCGGAAGACAGATGTGTTAGACGATGCCAGCAAGCCCAAGATGGAGAAGTTGACAGAGTCAGCCTGTCCATTGCACAAGAAACCACACCCTTTGAACAAATGCAGAGAGTTCAGAGAGGAGCCACTGCGAGAGCGGTAAGCCTTGCTAAAGGACCAAGGACCACATGGCAAAGGACCATCTGACCAAGGTCAGGTGTCGTGAATGTAGCAGGGAGAAGCACCCAAATGACTTACACCCAAATAGCTCTCCTCCGGCACACTCTTCAGGTTCTTCAGCTGAAGCAGCTCCAGCGGCAGTGGAAAGGACGCCAAAACCAGCTGCGAATGAGCCAGGACAGAGGTGGGTGTCCGCTGCACTCAGGTTTGTGGTGTGGAAAACGGTGGCCGGTCTTGCAATCAGGTAAGCCTGGCCAAGGTTTTCACTGCAGGGCATCCGGAGCAGGCTGTGAAGATGTATGTTGTATTGGATGGGCAAAGCAACCGAACCCTGGCTAGACCAGAGTTCTTTGACCTCTTCAGCTTGGGTGGGAAACAGATACAGTTCACTCTCAATATGTGCACTGGTGTCCAGAGCCAGGACTGACCTGCTGGCAGCCTGAAGGGCCCTGCCCTGCTTCTCTCCACCTGGCTTGGGGCGGGGCCTGACAGGCTCCATAAAGGAGTGCTTCTACGGCTGCTGGGCAGAGAGGGCTCCGTTTTTGTTTTTAAATTGCTTTAATTTTTTCTCTTTGTCATTTTAAATTGTGATTTCCGAGCACAATTCAAAGTGTTGGTGCTGACCTTTAAAGCCCTAAATGGCCTCGGTCCTGTATACCTGAAGGAGCGTCTCCACCCCCATCGTTCAGCCCGGACACTGAGGTCCAGCGCCGAGGGCCTTCTGGTGGTTCCCTCATTGCGAGAAGTGAGGTTACAGGGAACCAGACAGAGGGCCTTCTTGGTAGTGGCACCCACCCCTTTCAACTCCGTAAAAAATTTAGAGACAACTCCATATAAACAAGAACACAGAATGAGCCACTGAAAGATTCGGATACCAGGACAGTTAGCAGTGATAAACAAAGAGAGGCCAACTTATCTCTTCCAACTCTATGATTCTATGATTCTATGACGCTTGTGACAGGTTGTACCTTAATAGATTGTATAATTAAATTTGATTTTGAGGGAAGAAAAAAAAAATGTCTGAGGGAGGTCAAAAGCTACCGGTGTAACACCAGGGCTCAGCTTGCGCGAAGGGAGAGCGAGAGAGCGGCGACGCCTCCGCCTCCGGGCTCCTCCGTTTTGGGCCGTGAGGTGAGGCGCTCTCGGTGAGGGCCTGGCTCCGCCTCCCGCTGGCGCCTCCCACTCCCCGCCCCCTACAGCCTCTCTCCGCCGCCGGCTCCAGCCTCGGCCGCGACCACAGAGGAGAAGGAGAAAAGGGGAGGCGAGGGAGGAGGACAAGAAAGAGGAGGGAGCGGGGGAGGGAAAGGAGGGTGTTTATGAGGCGCCCTCGGAGGCCGGCTCTTCATTCATGCGGCGGCGGCGTCGGAGCCGAGGAGAGGCGCGCACGGAGCGAGAGAGAGGCGACTGAGGGAAAGGGAGGAGGAGCCGCCGCCGCCGCCGCAGCTCCACAGCCAGCAGCAGCAGGAGCAGCCTCAGTGCGCCGCCGCCTGCCTCAGCCCTCCCGCTCCTCCTCAGCCGGGCTGCCCTCCTCCTCCTCCTCCCGCGAACGGCGGCGGGGGCGCGGCGGGGCCGGACCATGCGGTGGCAGCGGAGCCCTCGGAGGCCCTGGAGGCTCCCTCGGCGCTCGCTGCTGGCCGCCCTCTTCTTCTTCTCGCTCTCCTCTTCCTTCCTCTACTTCGTCTATGTGGCGCCCGGCATCGGTGAGGAGAAGGGCGAGGGAGAATCCGTGAGGGAAACGAGGGTGGTGGTGGTGGGGAGCGCGCGCGGGCGCGTTCTCGAGGGCCGCCCTCCCGGCCAGTCGCCTCAGGACCTGAAAGTGACCGTGTGTGGAGGGGGGGGCGGATAAAATGGGGTGGCGGCTGCTTCATATATGTGGGGGGGGGAGCCCCAAGGTGGAGAGCCTCCCCTGCCTCCTTCCTGTGAGGAGAAGCATTGTGGGGGGAGTCGCCTCTTCATCCCCCCCCTCGCCTGAGCGGGTGGGTGTTTTTTTTTTTTGAGGAAAGGCGAGGAGGGTTCTCCCCCCTCCCACAACCACTTCCCTCCTAACGGTCGGGAAAGGGGAGGGGGCGAGCCGGATGTTTAGGGGTGCTGCTGCTGCTGCCGGGTGGGAGGTGATGTGGAGCGAACAGCCCCCCCCCCCCGCATGCTGCTCAGGCCCGGCTGACAAGCTGCGTGGTCTCGACTGCCGCAGCCTTGGGGCGGGATCTCAGGCATCCCCCCCCGCCCCCACAGCCATATCTCGCCCCCTCCCCTCCAAAGGTGTGTGCCTTGAGATTTGTGTGTAAAACAGCACATTTGCGTAGCCTACAGCCCCACCCCACAATATTATATGAAAATACAGAAACTTCGAGAGGATACCCCCCCCCACACACACACACACTGACCCCCCCCCCCCGCCGCCTGGCTTGGGCCTGGCTAGTTTCCCCCGTCTCCAGTACACCTCGCCGTCCGCTTTTCCCGCCCTCGCCTCTCGCCTTCCCCGGTTCCGTTCTAAGAATCCGAGGCATTCATTCCCTCTCCTTTGCTCCCGCATAGGAAAAAGGGGGGGGGGGGTTGAGGTATACTTTGCGTTGTTGTAGCGTGTCTCTGGTGTGGATCTATATTGCAGCATGTCCACAGTGTTATTCCTCTTTATAAAACATAAAGTCCGTGCGTTTTGGTAGGCAAGACACTCTTGCAAGTTTTTGTTTTGTTTTGTTTTGTTTTTTTTAGGCTTTTCGTTAATTTGTGGGTTCGGTATATCCCTGTGTGTGCTTTAAGAATAGTCTTTTGACACCAGTTCCTCCCTCCTGGCAATGAATTATCTCTTCCTTCATCTGTGTTCTCTCTCCCTCTCCGCCCCCCCCCCTTTGTATCCTGACCTTGACTAATTCACCATTTTATCCTCTCCCCTTCTACATACAAACAGAAGGAAGATGTTAGGTATATTTTCATGGGAGGTTGTGAAGAGTGATTGAGTGTAGATTTCCTCTTCCTTTCCTCCTGTATTCTGGGCATTGGTGCCTCTTTTAAATAGGCATAATGGAGGGAATTGGTCTGGTTGGCTAGGATCTCCGCCTGAGTAATTCCCAAATGGATATGTTAAAAAGCATAGGTAAAACTTGCAGGTTGGGCCTTCCAGGTAGAGATTTGGCAGCAGGTTCAAATGCTTGGTGGTGATAGTAAAAAGCATTGAATGAATAATTAGTGATGTTGGTTGCCTCGCTCCTAAATACCATAAGGTACTGCTGTTTATGTAGTTAAGCTCATATTCTGCTGGTTGTTAAATACCTATTATTAAACATCTATTATAAGGGACATTTTTCTGTTCACTTAAGCAAAAATTACTGCAGTTCATCTAATTTCTATCTCCTTGCAGATTTTACTTTCTGTGCTGTCATGTTTGTGGTCTTTTTATGTCTGGTGAGAGTGAAACAAAGTTTTATTATACTTTCGATCACCTGCCACATTGCTACAGTTACTGTCTAATGGAGTTTGGGATCAGATCATTCCTCTTGAGAATAACAGTATTTATTTAGGTCTTGGCTGTGTTTGAATTTACATACAATTAGGAAATTTGAGGGATACTTTGGATGGTTTTGCAGTAAGAATGTATTCATTTAATGCTAAATAGCAATTTCTTTTATATCACAGAAATGGTTCGCTGAGTATGTGAATGTTCCTGTATACAAGCTTTAGGACAGAATTTTGGTATTATTTCAGTTAGATTCCATGATCTGACCCGTTTAAATTGGTGTTTCCCAAAGTGGTTGATGGTACTGTGCAGGGGATGAATAAAGATTTAGGGGCTGAAAAAGGCTCTTTGGGTGGGAAAAAAATTCACAACATAGTTTGAAAAAAATAGTTAGGAACTATGAGCTTCAGAAGTAAAGGGCATGGGAATATATACAGAGTGCCCTTCCCTTGCCAGTGAGGAGTCTCAGCATTTAATAAGGTGGTTCCAGATTATAATAATATTCCTTATAGTGTACATTTTATGCTTCCTAATAGTGGTGATTGATTAAAAGGTGTTTGCTTACTGATATTTCTTGACCTGATTTCATTTATATTAAGATTTTTGGTTGGGGTCAATGACAATTTTATATGCTCATAAATGGGTCAGTGAACTCAGAAGTTTGGGAAATACAGATGTAAATAAACAGTTACCTCAAGGCAGTAACAGCCTAGAAATCCATATGTTAGTATCCTGATATGACATATCTGGACACATGGAGAAGAAATGGCTTCTACCTCATGATCAAATTCTTTAAAAACATTTCTTTATTACTGTAGTGCTTTCCAAGGAATTTGCAGGTTTATGTTCCCCTTATAATGTTCGGTGCAAACTTTAGTAATATTTAATTTCTAATGTGATTGAATACTGATTTCGGTACCTTCCCTGCAGTATGAAGCCTGTCATTTGTAACATGTAATATTCATTTATTGTACAATGAGGCACCTGACCCTTAAAACAATGTAATAAACCTAGCTTTTTGAACCTAAAGGCTTCAGTATTGTGGTGCAATCCTAACCCTCAGATTTGCTAGCTGGGAGATGTTAGGATGTGGCACTTCTCTCCCCCTTTCTCTCTTGCCCCTATTCAGCAACATAAATAACTTGTCCTGGCATATCTACTTACCATGAGGAGAAACCCTCTGGCAAAAGTTATGCTGGTGTAAAGAGTGGGAAATGGGCATGTTACAGGTGAGGAGAGGGATAAACAAGGTTACATGTCGTCCTAAATTCATTCTCTGGTCCCAAGCGCTTCACCAAAAATGCCAACATGAATTAAACACCCAATTGAAGGCATTGGAAAGGCAAAAAATGGTGAACACTGCCTCCCACACTCCTACAACCCCAACCCCTGGCCAGCAGCAGTTAGGATATAGCTTCACCTATAGAGGAGATGGCAGGCATATCTGCTAGTTTAATGTCACACAGAGTAGCTAGCTTAAATGTCAATTGATACTGAATGCATTAGTCATTGGTTACTTTAAGTAAACTAGTGATACTGCAGTTGCAGAAACCTAAGAATGAATTTATTGCTTGTTAAGAGTAGTTTGAAAACAATCTGAATCACTGTGCCTTGCACTCAGTAAAGTGTTAGAGCCACTGAAACTTGATGGCAAGCAGTTCAATTTAGCAAGGTTGTGATTTTTCTTCCCAGTTTGCATAGGCCATGTAAGTTATCAGTTTGCGTAACTATCAGGAAATTGTTTTTTATTAATGTGCACTGAAAATAATTAGTTTTTAAAAAAAATAAAAAACACCTTTTTTACAGCAATCTAATAATAAACACTTCATAATAGTCATACTTGGCAAAGGAAATAACCAAACAGTCTAATATCTGCTATAAAACCAACACTTTTAACAACAACACACCTGCCTAACTATATCTATTTTAAAAAATATATTGGCACTTTAAAAATGTCCCTGGTGTAGATCTCAGATGGCAAGACATTCTGTAAGCATAGTACCAACACTGTAAAGTCTTTATTATATGGTAAAGGCAATCTTATCCCAGAGAGGCAACACCAGGAAGACTTCATTGCCTCACATATTGTGCTAAATGAACATTAAGTCCTGTATGCATTATTCTTTCAGTACATATTTGCATTTGGGAGTAAACATTGAATACACTGGCACTTTTGGGAAAGCATACATAGGACTGGGCTATTAATCTTGTTCTTATAGCTTTAAAAATGTAATGTGAGATGTGTTCAACAGTCCACACTATTGAATTCACCAACTTGCCACTGTTCAGTGCATTAGTGAGATCATCTACCATTCTCATGAGTGTGAAGAAGAATGGGGTAATCTTGTTTACCTCAGACATAGTCTCAGGGGGTCTGGGAAGGCAATATGTCCCCCAATCAACTTGGATTGTAGGTGGATATCCTACCCCATAGCTGCACAGGTCCTTGGAAGCTCTCCACTGAAGACATCAACATTTTCTAGGGAGAGGGTTGGGGCAGTGCTGAATTCTAATTTGGGTTGACTATCAATGGTGTCCAAATTATAGACTTATCTGTTACATATATGGAAGAGCAATTCCTTTCATAGTAACTACATTTTCCTACAGTATCATAAGATAGTTCAACTCTCTGTCCCATGGTTTTATTTTAGATGTGTTGTCCTTAGAGACGCTCCTATTCATTAAAAGTTTTGACTTGCTTTTCTTAATATAATTCTCAATATTGATGCTGCTGCTGGCAGTGAGCTTTGGCTTCCTCAGGCTATGTACTTTGAGGCAAAGTCAGTTCTAGTAGGGGAAATATATCACAGGGATATTTCCACGGTCACAAACAAAATGTGATGCATGGAGTCTGTAAGCTTGTTTTTAAAATACCACAAAATGTTGTTCTTACTGCAGTAGAGTAATATGGTTACTCTCTGGAATTAGTGCTGCAGTAGACATTTCAGAGTCCTGAAATGGATAAGCAAAATAATTCATGATGGCAAAATAACTTAAGTTTAATAGCTAACTCACATCATGTGTTTTCCAAAGTTTACATCTAGAATTGGAGCTTGAAGGGAGCTGGAGGGGATTCTCCCCCATTAAAAAGAATATGATGTGTTTAAAGCAGGACTATACAATGTATGAATTGCAAGCCAAATGCTGCCCATGAACCATATATTGTGGCTTGCATGTCTTCATTTTCTGCAAAGCAGGTTTGTATTTATAGGTTTAATGGTGTACTGTGCTTAGCAACTTGGTAGAGCACAAATTCTTCTTTTAATGAGAATGTCTTGCGACTGAGATCCTTAAGAGCAGGCAGCGCAAGACAGTATTGGGCAAGGAGTAGACGGCATTGAGCTAGATAGACCAATTGTTTAAGGTCGTTTCCTATGTTCAGGGTAGCTTAAAATGTTATTGAAAAATGCCAACCCAAGCCTTGAGAGCTGCGGGGGAAGCCCTTCTCATAGTCCAGTTAATTAGTGTAGCACACTGGCAGTAATTTGGAACAGCGAGTTCTCTGTACAGTGGTACCTCAGGTTAAGAACTTAATTCGTCCTGGAGGTCCGTTCTTAACCTGAAACTGTTCTTAACCTGAGGTACCACTTTAGCTAATGGGGCCTCCCACTGCTGCCGCAGCGCCATTTCTGTTCTCATCCTGAAGCAAAGTTCTTAACCTGAGGTACTATTTCTGGGTTAGCGGAGTCTGTAACCTGAAGTGTTTGTAACCTGAAGCATCTGTAACCCGAGGTACCACTGTAGTAGTACCCTGGTTGTGGAATTCCTGCCCAAAAGAAATGCATTTTCCCCTACATTGACAGGTTTCTGGTGCCAAATGTTGCTCTCTCCTTCAAACTTTTGGGAGTTAAATATATTTTTAGAGTGCAGCCATTGGCATGTTGTCATTGCTGCACTGAATTTGTTTATGATAGTAAATTGCTTTCATATGATCTTTTGTTAGTAATTTTTGTATGACAGATGCATCTTTAAGGAACTATTTTATCACCCATCCAAATGGATGAAAAGTAGGTTAAATTGCAACCAATAACTACTTTCTTCACATGTACCCACTTAACAATGAATTTTCTTTTTTTTATATACATTTTTTAGATGTCTTAAATATGTTTTTAAAATTGTTTTATTGCTTATTTGCTGCCCTGGGCTCCTTTGAGTAAGTAAGTGGGTGCCCTTCTTTGTGTGTTCCTGCCAGGTTAGGTACAGGTGGTTATGAGTAAAAAGACCTTTTCAATTTTGGCACCCCAGAACAGAATGGCCTCCATAGGGAGCTCACAGTGCCTACTTTCAATGTACTTGTGCCCTAGGTGGTCAAATTATTTCCCCATGCCTTCTAAAGGCAATAGATTAAAAAAAATAAATTATTTTCTACCCTGCACTTCATGTTTGTTTTTTAAAAGCTCCATCATGTTTTTATTGCCCAGTGCATGTTTTTACTTTAGTCTCATTCTGCAAGCTCTAACAACTTTGTGAAATATTGAAAATAAATAAAAAGCACCAGACTCTTCCCCCCCCCCCCGCTGCCCACTTGTGATCATTTAGTGGATCAGGGAAGAGGGTCTTGTCTTCAAGCTGGGGATTGGCCTAATTAGCTGGGTTTTCTCTTGGACCCTAATCCTTTCTTACAAATTATTTCAAGCTTGCAATCCTCCTTGAACTGTGTTAATGTGAACTGAATACAGTTCATGCAATTGCTGACTGGGAATGTGTAATGCAAACTATTTTCCTAGCTTGATACCTAGATTTCAGAAAGAGAGAGAACTCACTTGTAGTTAGGAAACCTTTGGCTGGCTTTGAGAAATATCATAGTCTTAGTAGGCTACAAAGCACATTGTTATAAACATTAGCTCCTAACAGGTATACTTCTCAGGGTCTCACTAGACAAACAGTTGTCAGTTGTTTACACTAATTTTCTACCAAAGTTTGGACTAGTTAAAATTTATCTTAAGAGAACAAACTTGTTCCATTGCTCCCTTGTCTTTCTCTCAGTCTAAAGCCAAGCCTGGTTTCTGTACTCAGGTGGTATTGGCAGTACATAAGGGCTACAGCTATTTCATATACACTCATACCTCCTGTTATGTTTGCTTCATGTTACATTTTTTCAGGTTGCGTCCCGTGGCGACCCGGAAGTACCTGAAAGGGTTACTTCCGGGTTTCGCCACTTGCGCATGCGCAGTAGCTGCTAAGCTGCAGGTTTTTTTACATGCTGGTCATTGTTTGACAGTATTCTGGTTATCAGAAAATCTTACTAAGTGAATTAGAAAAAGTTTTTCACGTGGACCACATCTTCCTTTTCTTATCGCATGTATTTAGATTCCCGGTGGAATACCTGGCATGGCACTTTGAGGATAAAGTCATTCAGCTTTGTAGTTCCTTAGGCTTAGATAACAGTGTTGTGGCAACTCCAGTTGAAGTTTCCAATGCATCTCCTCCCCAGTGGGATAAATTTCAGTTCATGCAGCCTTGTGATACTGATAGCACTCCCAAAATGATGTAACCAGATTCTTGCTCTCTTGACCCTTGCCTCAGTTGGGTTGGGTTGACTTAATGGGTCTAGGGTGTGCTGCATGCATGTTTACATGATAGAGTTGTCCCTCCTGCACCCACTCAGAAGCACACCTTGAATCCTGTAGGCTACAACAGCTCCTGCATTCTACATACAGGCAGCAGGGTGGCTGCCTGTGTCTGTTTCAGGAAATGGTGAACATCTACCAGGCCAGCCAGTATGCATGGTGACCATTTTGCATGAACATGGGAAATGCCAGATGGACTGGTTTACACATTTCACTTTTGTAAGCAAGTGCAGCTAATTTTTCACCACTTGAGCCATATAACACTGCTGCTGTTTTCATTTCCTGACTTACAGGGACATATGCAAAATTGTCTTTCACTAGTTGACTCCCGGTGCTGTTTCCCAGCAGGGTTCTATCCCACAATTTGAAAAGAGTCAGCTCTTCAAAAGCTTGGGCTGCAGTTTATCATAAGAAAAAAACCTGGGGCTCATTCTTATCTCTATGAAGAATAATGTGTTTTAAAAAATGGAAATACATATGTATGCAGCTACAGAATGCATGAAAATGTATCTGTAATCATGACCTGATGTCATATTCATGCAAATTGTATCTTTGTACATTATGCAAACTGGCTGCAGACTTTTGTATATTTTACTCGGGTAGTGAGTGATAGGCAGATCTATAAATATAAGATCTTTCTGAGCTGTGTTTCTGATCTTGCAGTGTTTTTGGACTAGCTTCTTGCCTGTGAGGAGGGGATCCTTCCTGGATCGGATCAAGAAATATGGATAGTTAGGCCTTCCTTATTTTAAGACAAACCTATTATTATTAATAGCATTTATTCATCACTTATACATAAAATGTCTTATAGCAACTTGTAATTCAAAACCCATATATTATACAAAAATTTAAAATTATAAAAATTTAAAAGGAGATAAGACTAAAAGTGCTTATCCTGCAATAACATAAAAAGGATGATGAACACCAGTATAGGCTTGGGTATCATTATACTGTATAACCCCAATTAAGAGCCAAATGTATGGAAGAACAGGGACATCCTTGCCTGGCACCTCGAAGTTGATGATGAGGGTGCCAAGCAAATCTCTCTGGGGAAAATATTCCACAACTGGGGAGGCACCACTGAAAAGCCTGTCCTTAGGTTGCCACTTTCAACACCCATCTGAGGGGGCACACAAAGAAGAGCCTAAATTGACAATTTCAGGGTCTAGGTAGGTTCATGTAGGGCAGGCATGTCCTAAGTCTGTCTTGGGGGCCTAATCCGGCCTGCTAGCTGGCCCCCATAGCAGGATATGTCTTGGGGTAAAATCCTAAAAAAAGCTTAGCAACTGCAATCCTAAAAAAAGCTCATCAACTTTGGTTGGCCCTTTCACATGTTCACTTCATCAAATCTGGCCCTCTTTGAAAAAAGTTTGGGCACCCCTGACATTGTAGGGAGAGGAGATCCCTATGGTATTGTGATCCAGAGCTGTATAAATGAGTAAAAATCAGCACTTTGAATTGAGGCAGAAAACTACAGTCGTACCTTGGTTTTCGAACAGAATGCGTTCTGGAAGTCCGTTCGACTTCTGAAACATTCGGAAACCAAGACGCAGCTTCCAAATGACTGCAGGAGCATTCTGCAGCCGAGCAGAAGCCGCGCCGGATGTTCGGCTTCAGAGTCAAAGTTCACAAACCTATTTCCGGGTTTGCAACATTCGAGTTCCAAGTTGTTCGTGAACTAAGCTGTTCAAAAACCAAGGTACGACTGTAATCAGAAGCTGATGCTTTCAGGCCAAGATTGGTCTTATAAAATTAGCCCTCCTGTTCCCAGTCAGCAGTCCGGCTGCTGAAGGCTGTACTAGCTATCATTTCCATCTTCAAAGGCAGCTTGCCATATAATGCAATGTAGTATTGGAAAACAATTGGAAATTGAAGTCCTTGCTGATCTCCAGCAAAACGTTTAGATCTACAAGTAGATCCCAATTTTCTTTCTGCCTGTGCCTCATTATGCTACCAAATTTAACAAATAGTTTTATACTTAATATCTTCAATACAGTGGATCCACATTGCAGTGGTTAAAAATGCAGTTTACTATAAGGCCTTTAATTTACCATGTCAATTTTCCTTAAAATCCCAAGTGTAGAGCATTCAAGTTTGAATGAAGGTGATCAATCCTCTAATATACACCCCTTCCACATGGTGGAAGTGACCTTGTATACTGTTACTGACTGGACTTTGTATTCTTGGCTGCTGAATAGTGCATGATCTGCAAATCGTAGGGTCAGTCTTTAAATGGAATATTGCTTGGCTCCATAACTCCTCAGCTTTAATGGGTTTATTGCTCAAAGCAATGGGGCAGTGATAACATGTCATTCTGTTTAGAGCTTTGCTTCCAGATTAGTCTCTGTACGAAAGGAGTGGCTCTGGTGGTATTCATAAGGTTGAGGGAATAGTTCGCCTTTTCTGCTACTAAGCAAAGTTTGATAGAAGATCACCAAACCATGCAATATGTTTTCATTACAGTAACACTTAATAAACAACACGCCGTGTTTGCCTCCTCTTTGGGTGCAAACAAGTATTGTAGTGATCAGAATAGTTTGTTGCTAGGAGTAGTGCTAGTGTCAGCAACACAGAAGTTGGAGAGGTCCTCTTTTATGAAAGAGGTTTGTTTGCTTATTCTATATATGAGAGACTGGTAAACATGCATCTCTCTCTCTCTAAAAAAAGCCTTTTGCTGCTACTAGAAAAACCATACTGATACTATACTGATACCAGTAACAGCTTTGACATTTTAACAGGTGGAGCTATTTGCATCATTTAAATACAGAGAGAGGCCATATCTAGTGGTTGCATGTGCTCTTTCCTTTCTTCTGTTGCTCTGAATTTGACTTATATCCTGAGACATTTCTTCCCCTTCGGGTGGTGCAATGGGTCATTGTGTCTGGCTGTTAACCAGAAGATTGGTGGTTTAAGTCCAACCAGGGATAGCTGTGGGCAGGATTTCTGCATTGCAGAGGGTTGGACTAGATGACCTTTCTGGTCCCTTCCAACTCTTCAATTCTATGATTCTATGATTCCCCCTTCCATGTTATCTGAATAGGCTGCCTGATCTATGAACTGGACTTCTGACTGTATTCCTTGCATATTGGCTTCTATGAGGCTAATCAAGATGTAACTGCTTGAACATTTGGACATTAATCCTGACTGAAAACAAATCAAGCAAGGATCTCAGAGGGCAATAAAGCCTTGCTTGCATGTGAATCTTTTTTATACTGGATATGTTTATCTCTTTTTTCAGTTTGACCCATAGCATCATTGAATTATTGAGTTTGAAGGGATCCTGAAGGTCAAGTCCACCCCCCTGCAATGCATTAATTGCTGCACAGCGTTAATATTACAATATATTACCTGCCCTTCACCCTAAGGTTCCAGAGCAAGTTACAACAATTAAAACACAATATCAAAAACAGTTTATAACAATTTTACATTTTTGGAAGTAAAATGGGTCCTAAACGTATGCATCTCAGGTATGAAAAGCTGTTATAAAGAGGTGTGCCACACCTCTGTGGAGAGGGAGCCCCATAACTTAGGAAGTGCCACAGAGAATGCCCTTTCTATAGTTAACAAAGCCCTTAAAAATGATAGTATTGAATGGAGAACTATGTTTGGAATCTCACAAAAATCTATGCAATGGGGCATTTTAATATGGTTTGTGTGTCTTTATATTATATGCAACTAGAGCAATAAGTAACCAGTCACTGCTTTTTATGCATACAGATCTTGATGGGTGCAACTGTACATTCAGTTTTCTGAACACCTGGTCCTTTAAGTCTTGCTTGGATTCCTTGCAGTGGTAATTTTTAAGTGCTCTCTGTCAGTTCAGTCTGTTCTGATCAGATTTAAATGAGACAGTGGTGAAAACATCTCTTGAAAATGCAAGGCTTGTAAATATTCTTTGGAAAATATGAGATTGAGCTATCACGTCGAACCTTCAGTTTTGACACAACCTGATATAATGGATCAATTTTATACATCCTTGGTGCTATTTCAACCTGTCACTGCCAGTTTGCTTGTTAACAGTGATTTTCTTCCTTGCTGCTGAATGGTGGCCATTTTGATGATAATATTGAATGTGGTTCATATCTTCTTTCTTATAGCCGAGTAAGATTGTCTTCCATGAATGTGGTCAAACATGTTGGAGCAGTGGTAGTAAAGGTGTTCAGAAATTTGTATTAAACATGAAGAAAGTCTAGTCCCTCACACCCAAACAATATATTACATTAAGAATATATTGCATTCATTAGGCCAGTTACAGTTAATGTTTTATGCTTTTCATTCTTTGCAAAATCACACAACTTGTGTGGGTCACCCTCCCCCCCGAACTGGAAGTTTGTATGTTTGCTCTGCAGCGGGTGCCCAGGGGATTTCAAACACTGTTTATGGCATTAATAATGTTTAAAGACCACCTTGGATCCATCAGTTAAAGCAATAGACACAGATTATATGAATCCGACACTGTGAGACTGAGGTTGAAATGGGAAATGAGAGTCTGAAATTCATTTGTAATTTGAGGTACCTTTCTCCTTGGGAGGTAATTCAACATGTAAAGCAGGATGGTCCACCGTATGGCCCAAGGACCACATGCAACCTGCAGTGCCTTTTTTGGTGTGACTCAGCACCATTTGATGCCCCCTCAATCCTTGCACCACCTTCCCAAAGCTGGGTAAGCAAGGCATTGGGCTTTGGGAAGGAGGTGTGAGTGCTCTGATAGGGTCCCAGAGTCCTCTGACTTCCTTCCCAAAGCCTAGTTACCATTTCCCCCCAGCTTTGGGGAGGAGATGGGAGGGTTCTAGGACCGTGCCAAAGCTTCATGCCTCCTTTCCGAAGCCCGCTGACCCTGCTTTCAGAAAGTAGCATGAGGATGGGGAGGAGGCATCAGATGTTGGTCTTGTTCACTCCCTCTTGCCTCATGTGACAAGGCAGTGGGCAGCCTGCAGGTTCTGTGTCAAAGTACTCTTGCAGTCGACTTGGTATGAAAAGTTGGCCACCCTAATATAAAGAGCATGCATTAAATTGATTATCAGCTTCAACAGAGAATTGGAAATCTAATTTGAAGCCAAACTAAATGTTACATGGGATATATGTGATTTTATTGCTAAACTGTGTTTTTGAAACATCCGTGAAGTGCTCTGAATTTGACCAGACATTGGCATCAGAGGATGGTGTGCTTTTCCCTACCTCTGGCTAAGCTAACATCAGTTTTGAGGGAAAGGGTTTAGACTAGGGGGAAATGATATGGTGGGAAGTCTTAGATGTCCCCTCTCCCAGTGATGTGATTAAATTCTGACTTCCCCTCTGGTTCCCTTTAAAGTAAAAACAAAACAATGTCTCCTGCAAACATGTAGTTTAGTCTTCAATATAATAAGGCAGTATATTAAAGATAAACAAGTTGATAAAATTATTTTTTGTAACCTGTGGAAATACTATATTAAGAGAAAGGAATGAGTTTCTCCAGCAGTCCAAACACTGCTGTTTGCTTGTTGCCTTTTTCAGAAAGAAGGAATTTGGGTTTTTTAATCGATTTTTATTTGGAAGTTGTTCAGTGGTTGTCAGGGGATGCGTCAAGTTGGGTAAAGTGATAAAGCATGATGTTGCTAAGCTATATGTGTTTCTTTGGCATTCCCAAAAGTCTTTGACAATCCTGAAAAGAAAAAAAAAAGCAACTTTTGATAATACTTCTAACCTGGTTAGCAAAGGTTTATGTAGGCAAAACACTAGACTTCTCAGTCTAGAATTATTCTTCAAATGGAACACAGTACTCAAGAGTAGTGCCTTCTACATCAATCTGATTGTTTGTGTCCTGAAAGACTTTGTGCAATATGTCTTAGAACCGCATTGATCACCTATAGCTGTATCACATTGATGTTCATAACCCAAAGATGTCTGTTTCCTTTACATCCTCTTCTGACAGATCAGCTTCCTGTTGATGGCAAAAATGTTTTGTTATCTCCCTGAGTTCATTTTAAAAATCTTTAATCACATTTTTTTTTCACCTTATGAGTTCATAAGGCCATCCAGTTCATTCTACACAGGCTTCCTGCTCCTTCTTTTCATATAGACAATGCTGCCAGAGTTGATGCCATCAGCATTTTCCTGCTTTCTTTCCCAAGGTCACTGAATCCCGGAGTCCATATAGGAAGTCCACTTGCTATTTAACTCTGAAAGCTTTCTTTTTAGCACAGCTTTTCATAATCTCTTAGTATGTACGGTACATCTTAAATTTTTCTTGAACTTAATTCATTTTTGTCATAGCATTAAATCACACATAAGTTCCGGATGTGAGTTTCTGGCCACTTAATATGCGGCTGTGGCATAAAAGGCCATCTCTTCCACATGTTCCTCTGTTGTACAGCCATAAGTAGCAAAAGGAAATCATGTCAAGGCATTGGTAACTCTTACTTCAGCCATTTTCTACAATGGGATCTGAATACTGGTTTCCTGCTAGGTTTGTTTAGTTGCATATGATGTTGTCTCCTTGTACACAAGAGACTTCAACTAATCTCAGAGTTGCATAAAGGGCTAATTGCTTATCCAAACAACACAGACATCATGTATGCAAGTTTTGACGTTGTGGAAACCAAAGGTAAAAAGATAGGGAATAAGAAGGCATGCATGGTGTCTATGTGATGTAACACTTTCCATTCTATTATAAAAAATTTCCATCAATTCATAAAAATAGAGTTATGAAACTTCATTGAGCTCATTTCATGCTTGTAAATGGTCACTTGCTTAATTGGTTCTAGGCAACTAAGCAGGGAAGCTTTACTAAAGCAGTTATTCTTTACTTTAGGCCACAAGTTATCAAGATAGGTATGTGGGCAGGTGGACTACTGAAAACCTTCATAAGCTGGAAAATTTAGGATTTTATCCAACTAAGTTCTACTTAGAGTTGACTCATTTAAATTAAGAGGACTAAATCAGCATTAGTTTCAGTGGGTTTACCTTGGGGATTATTAATATTGAATAGAAACCGAAGTCTTTATTTGCAATACTGTGTTAATTGGGTTTGTGTCAGGAAAGTGACATTCTGCCTTGTTTTGTGCCACAACACTCTGTTTGGGAAGCAAATTTTAAGTTCTTCAAATATGATTAGTGCCACTATTTTTTTTAAATGGTGGTTCTGAATCTCAGATAAAATGGTGCATCAGATAAATCATCATTTTCAATTATTATTGCTCCCTCCTGGAACTGGTGTTGCTTTTGAGAAAAAGCTATACTATACATCTCTCTCTAGATTTATCTTCCCATCAGAGGTGTCTCTGGAGAAATGTACTCAATATCCTTTTTTTACTGGCACAGTCCCAGGAGCAATTAAAGGCTTCCCTATACAGCAGACTCCCAACAGGAGAGAGCTCTGGAGTGTTTAGATACTGTAGTTATAGCAGAGAGCAAAATAACATATCCTCTTGTAAGTAGAGGAAACCCAGGCTTGACTGTTGTGTTTTGAGTTGTCCATATAAAAAAATCCTTCCTGCCTTTCACTCATGAAATGAAGCTTCAGTATCCTGCCGAGCAGGGAATAAGATATGGAGTATACCTTGAATAGAATCCCATGAGACTTGATGTTTTGTTTAAGACAGCCATGTTTAACAGCTTGCCTGGTAGCCATAGGCAACCAGGAATTCCATGCATACAAGTATGTGGAATTCATTGCAGGCGACTAAGCAGGTGGAGGAGGGTCAAATCTCTCTATCCCTCCTCTTGTCAGTTCACGTAATTGCTGTGCTAGCTATGCTAGCTTAGCTGCAGAGGAATGAAATCCCATTTCTCTATGGCCATCATATTAACCAAGCAGGTTTGCAGTGGATTGGCAGAGGAGGTATCTGCTTGAGATAAGGCTTTTTTACTAGCCTTCTTGAGAGGCAAGTAGCCTGTGTTTACATGCTGGCTGTGGAGGAGTGAGATTCCTTTATACTTCAGCCAACATTGAAATACAGCCTGTTAGGCTACTAAACATGTTTTGCATGTTTTTAATTTTGTGGGTTTATTTAAAGTCTAGTTTAAAAGCTTACAGCCCACATAGTGAACAGGCTGATGGTTTGTTAAAAATATGTTAGTTGCTGGCCACATGACTTGGAAAGCTGTCTGTGGACGAACGTCAGCTCCCTTGGCCTGAAGCGAGATGAGCACCGCACCCCATAGTCACATTTGACTGGACTTAATCAACCAGCTGTTATTTACCTTACCCTTACCTTTTGCTAGTTGAAAGTATGAATGGGGGCTGCAATAGTCAGTGGGCTAGCTCTTGGCAAAACTCTCGTCCACTTTCCATGGCCTCTTATTCCTTATCTACCTGTCATTTCCATATGGAAACATAACTTTCCAACTTGGTATAGGCAAGCTTTATTCACCCCACCCACTCAAAAGGTAGACAGCAAAATGTACAATATGAATTCACCAGGGTTGCCTTAGCCAGGATGCCTAGCTGCACCCCAGATCCTCCTGTTTGAGTTATTGTCACTCTGTGCTTTAGAAAAGTAAAAAACAGTGCAAGCAAAACCTATCCCAAAGGGAGAGCACTTGGAGAGAGGTTAGTAGGGGTATCATCGTGCTGAACATTGGCATACTGGGCAGAAACAATATGAGGTTCCCAAAAGTCCAGCACAATGCAAGATACTAACAACTTAATTTTTTTATTATAGAACATTTATAGTCTGCCTTTTTACATACTTAAAACAAAATAATAATATAGCATGAAAAAAATTACTGCCTTTTTTGGCGATCACTTGTAGCCGAGAAAGATTATGTTCCATGAACATGGTATAACATAGTATATACATGAACATGTAGTATAACTGAACATCTGTAGATAGAAGTCAGCTAAAGTATTAGGTCTAACTTTTAAAAAATCTAACCACGCAAATTGATAACATATCTGTTTTTTTAATTTCTTAACTAGATGGCAGAAAAAGGGAAGGGAAAAGGAAAGCGATGTCAGAGTTTGGGACATGGTCAGAGAATGCTCTGTGGATTCAGGGAAGGGTAGTGGTGACCACAAATAATGGCTGATAACTGAGCCAAAACCAAAATGTGTAGAGTCTTCAGCAGCATCTTGAAAATATGTGTAATTTAGCTTTGGAGGGCTTCCAGTTGCACCTTTCAGTATACACTAGACAGCTATTTTTAGATTCCAGAATTCTTGGCACCATGTATAGAGGGGAAGATTTGGCCAGTTGTCACTGACATCAGAAGGGACCAAAACTGGAAGAATTTTCTTAACTGATGTACAGCCTCTCAATGAAAAGTTCAGTGGAAAAAGCTAGGGCTGAATTCATGAGGATTTACTTAGTTGATTTATTTTCTCTCTCTAAACAAGTTGTAGACAAGCGGAGTCACTTAACGTGTGTGTTATGAAAACTTGATGTCAAATGTAAGAGGTCCTAAAACTGTTTAAATGCCTTTTGCCAAGGTTTCATGCTTGTAAGGAGCACAATTGTAGACTTTGGGCCACATCGCCATTTGCAAAGCTGCTGATGGGTCTAGAAATGCATCATAAATACATTCCAAAGGTGGTGTTTGCAGTGTTAAATTGCCCTGTATCATAGTACACCTGTCCTTGGCTCCTTGTTGCACATGCAGTGGCTTGCACGCTGTTGATTGTTCATTCCTCGTTGAAGCTGATTACCAGCACTGAGTCTTCCTTTGAAACGGTATATAAAATGTAGTCTAAGTACATGTCAATAGCTAATCACTAAGATCTTTAGGGCAAGGAAGTCATAGCACTACAACAAGAGAGGAAAGATCACTAGTTCAAGTTTCACCGTCACCATAAATTAATTATGGCCTTAGGCAAGCCACTTACTGTTAGAGTTTCAGACCCCTTCTCCTAATATGTAACTTGGTTATACTCTCAATAGTTTGCAGGGTCTAATAATAGATTACTTGAAGTATGTCTGTAAACCCAATTCCAGGAACCATGGAGATTTCATGATGTAAAAACAATCAATACTAAGTTAGGCTACAATGAAACCACCTTTAGATCATTTCCCTGACAGGAACAAGTTAGAAGTGTAGTTTTCGATCTGGGAAGCTGTCTACACACCTACTCCCCCATCAGGGCATAAACATGCAAGTACTAAATACCAACTCTAAGCAGACTTCAGTGTGCGTTAACACATTCCTTTAGCCAGAAATGTAATAATGGCTTGTCAAGTAAGACTGGGAGGGTAGTGAGAAATCCAGAGCTGAAGGCAATTCTTTAGATAGAGTAGTATATTGGGAAACACAATTTCAGTGTCCCAGCTACATTTGAGTTTAAGCATAAACAGCATAAACAAGAAGTCCCTGACCAGCAATATATTGAATGTGGGAAACAATGCGTTTTCACTGTTACTCAGATAAAGAAGCTCTGTTGGATGCTTTAGGAATTGGGTTTCATGTCCCACAGCCATAGTAAAGATGGTGTGCACTGAGAGAAGTGAAAAGACCCTCTGAAGCACATGGAGAAGGGAGAAGCCCCATTTAAGGGTTCTGAGTGCTCTTTTCCCCTGAAGTTTTTCCACTAGCTCCCCCACACCTTTGGCCAATTATTGAGATAGAAATGTGAAGTACAGCCAGAATCCAAATGGGAAATGTAAACAGAATGGTGTGAGATGCTTAACTAGGCAAAGGCCTTGCTGCCTCTCTGTCCACAGTCCTGTGTTTCTCAGTGTTTTTCTGACTCATGGCCTACTGCCAGAGTCCACATTAATAATGTACGGCTTTTTTATGTCGCTGCCTTCCCAGCATCCCCTTCAGCTGCTGAGTCAGAGAAGATTGTTACAGCAGCAGCCTCCAGAGCAGCAGAAAGCAATGAAATCCTCCTGCAGTGCTGTTGTGCTGTCATCTGTTATGCACATCTGCTCTGCAGGAAAGTCTTTGCTAAAGATGTCCTAGTTTGAAAAGCCAAACAAGAATGGGATTGTTTCACCAGTTTGTAACTGAAGAATGTATTGTACATCTAGAGTGGATGATCTTAGTTTAAGATTTCCATCTAGTATATGCCTGAAGAGGGGAATGAGTTTATCTGCAGATTGCTGCTTTCTTAAGAACTATTTGAAGCATAACTGTATATGCCATCAACTACATTCTTTTTCCTCTGTCTGGTTCATTCAAGGTGATAAGAGATTATAGATACCACTTTGCTGTTGAAAATGACTAAGTGATTAAAAATTTTAAGGAACCCAAAGAGTAGCTGATAGTATATATGGGTTAGAATCATAGAATCATAGAGTTGGAATAGACCACAAGGGCCATCGAGTCCAACCCCCTGCCAAGCAGGAAACACCATCAGAGCACTCCTGACATATGGTTGTCAAGCCTCTGCTTAAAGACCTCCAAAGAAGGAGACTCCACCACACTCCTTGGCAGCAAATTCCACTGTCGAACAGCTCTTACTGTCAGGAAGTTCTTCCTAATGTTTAGGTGGAATCTTCTTTCTTGTAGTTTGGATCCATTGCTGCGTGTCCGCTTCTCTGGAGCAGCAGAAAACAACCTTTCTCCCTCCTCTATGTGACATCCTTTTATATATTTGAACATGGCTATCATATCACCCCTTAACCTCCTCTTCTCCAGGCTAAACATGCCCAGCTCCCTTAGCCGTTCCTCATAAGGGATCGTTTCCAGGCCTTTGACCATTTTGGTTGCCCTCCTCTGGACACGTTCCAGTTTGTCAGTGTCCTTCTTGAACTGTGGTGCCCAGAACTGGACACAGTACTCCAGGTGAGGTCTGACCAGAGCAGAATACAGTGGCACTATTACTTCCCTTGATCTAGATGCTATACTCCTATTGATGCAGCCCAGAATTCCATTGGCTTTTTTAGCTGCCGCATCACACCAAAAAAGGCCAATGCAATTCTGGGCTGCAGGGTTAAACTGTGTTATGAAGGCTAGTTGTGTTAACTGTTGCAGCAAAAACAGCAGTGTCTTGTGACACTTTAAACTTATTATGGCCAGGGGTTAAACAATGTGTGACTGGCCAGCTGCTTCAAAGAGTGTGTTTGCCAATTGTTTTAAGACAATCCCTGCACTCCCATCTGAATGCAGGAACTGTATTAAAATGCTTAGGAAAACACTCTTGAAGCAGCCTCTTCTCCTTTAAATACCACTCATGCACTGTTAAAGGGAGGGGTGGGTGCTTCTTTAAAGAGTGCTTTTGCAAAAGGATTTCAGACAGCCCCTGCTTGATGCTCTGGAGGCTCACATAAGAGTGCTGAGGCCATCTTTAAACTGCTTACAAACAGTGAAGGGGCTTTGAAGGCATTGCAGGTTCTCAAGTGTCCGACTGCCAGCTGGCTGCCTGGTGTCTGAAAACTTTGCATAAAGGATTGTGAGGTGTGTGTTGCTCTGCCCACATCTCAGATTTGATCCACAAGGCTGATCCTGCCAAGGATCTGGCTCATGGAGCCAAGAGGTTCCCCACCTCCGTTTTAAAGTATTCTTCATTTTATACCATTTTTAAAAAATCTGTTTTATCTGCAATAATATAAAACCAATGCATTAATATCCTGTCTATTATTTGTACTTCAGCCTTATCTGATGAGTTCTGGCAGAAACTGCACATATACCGTATTTTTCGCTCTATAGGACGCACTTTTCCCCTCCAAAAATTAAGGGGAAATGTGTGTGCGTCCTATAGAGTGAATGCAGGCTGCGCGGCTAAGCCCAAAGCCAGAACAGGGAGACGGAGCGCTGCGGAGCGCTCCGTCTCGCTGTTCTAGCTTGGGGATGCCTGCACACAAAGCCTCTGCAGGGCAGTGGGGTGCCTTCACCCCGCTGCCCTGCAGAGGCTGGAAAGGCTGTTCCCAAGCCAGAACAGAGAGATGGAGGGTGAGACGGAGAACTCCTGCTGCGCTCCGAAGGCTTTGGGTGAATGCACCTCAAACGCACCTTGTTTTAGAGGGGGAGAACAAGAAAAAAATTTTTTTTCCCTGTTCTCCCCCTCCTATGGTCCGGTGCGTCCTATAGAGCGAAAAATACGGTATATCAAATAGCATATCAATGTATTTCCTGTCAGTTTTACTAAACCAACATGATTGACTAATTATATTTCTTTTATTGTGCCAGTAGTTGTTGACTAGGTTTAAGTGTTATATGCTTGTGTGAATTCCGTACTGGTAGTAAAGATTACTTGGCTTACAAAACAGCTGTCATGCATGGTTAAAAGAAACAAACATTTTTGGCACAATGGCTACTCAAAGAGGGGAAAAACTTGTCTATATAGCAAAGGAAAAAACTTTAACTGAGGGCAGTGAGCAGTGACAATAAGCTCTCTAAATCATAAGAATGCAAGTTATAGAGATCTACTTAAGCCCCATGATATGTTGTTGTCTTTGCTTGTCTCATATGTGAATGTACAGTGGTATCTCAGTTCTTGAACATAATTGGTTCCAGAAGACCATTCGGCTTCCGAAATGCTTGAAAACCAAGGTACCACTGTACCAGAAGAGAATAGGTAGATTCCTGCTCTTATCAGCATTGATAAAATTACTTTCTACTAGTTTTCATCCTGGTGTTGCTGAATGAAAAGTTCATTCTTGAGTGAGTGAATTGTCAACTACTGTAGAAGTGCTAATATACTCTGTTGATTTGCAAGAGGAAGTTCCATATGACCATCCTATGCAAAAGACAAAGCTATCTAGTTAGGAAAAGTGTCTTTACCCTCATTCTGAGCCTTTTCTCACCAACACTTGCAAGGATCTGCGTATGTGCTTGCTAGTTTGTTCCTAGGAAGTACACTTTTTATTTGGCAAGAGCACAGAATCTAGGGTGGTTCCCACCCTTGTGTGCCTTGGAAATCATGAGGACTCTTCACAATGCCCGGCTAAGTTCAGAAGCATTGAAGTATGGGAAGAGCTCTCCTGGATGTTGCTTTAAGCCTCAGTGGCACTTGGAAAACTGAGAGACTTCTTGCTCCTTTCTCAAACCTAAAGCTTACTGGATAGGTGACAAGTTCCCATCCCTCTCCTAGCTAAGACTCACCCTGCTCAATTTTGCTAGGTCTCAAGTTTAGAGTAATGTCAGAAGATCCTGTCCTCTCCTTCTGGCAAGAATAAATTTTGTATGCTACCAAAGTGAAATGAGATTGTTAGCTCCTGCAATATGTCTGGGACAATATGACCAACATAAAACTTAAGCATTTTGCAAAGTTTATTTAATTTATCTAATATATTTATATGCCACCCTTTGGTATAAACCTCCCAAGGCACTTTAGAATAAAATGTGTATGTTCAAAATAAATTAATTTGATCATGTTCCCTTACATTGTGTTGTCTTCTTCTTTGGTGATCACTCCTAGCTGAGTAAGATTGTCTTCCATGAACACGGTCTTAACAGTGAGTCTGTAAGTGACACTGGAGGCCAATTATGGAACCACACATCTTCCACAGGGACATACGTTTCTGGGCAGGAGTTGATCATGGTGAGAGTTTGTCAAACGTGCCTTCCTCTTAGTTCATTTCTCCCTTTTGTTCTGAGTTTGAGCGTCTTCAAAGTCCATGACACCTTTGGTAAATGCTCTAATTGGAGCGCTCACTGGCCAGTGTTTCCCAATTGTTGTTTATACTACATTTTTAAAGATTTGCCTTGAGAGAGTCTTTAAACCTCTTTCGTTATCCACCAGCATTATGTTTTCCATGTTGTAAGTTCGGAATAGAGTAGTTGCTTTGGAAGACGATAATCAGGCATCTGAAAAACATGACCAGTCCAACGAACTTTATGTTGAAGAATCATTGCTTGGACATTTGTGATCTTTTCTTCCTCCAGTACACTGACATTAGTTCACCTATCTTCCCAGGTGATATGTGCATTTTTTCAGAGACACTGTTGATGGAATCTTTCGAGGAGTTGGAGATGTTCCCTTGTTTCACAAGCATACAGTAAGGCTGGTAGTACAATAGCTTTGTAATCAAGCATTTTGGTTTCCCTGCAAATATCCTAGTCCTCAAACACACTGCACTTCAATCGGGAGAAAGCTGCTCTCACCAAGTTCAGGTGATGTTATGTTGGCCCTTGTGGAAAGGTAACTGCCTCGGTAGGAGAAGTGATTGACACTTTCCAATGTTACACCATTGAATTGGATTTGTGGCGCTGCAGAGGGGTTGTTTTGTGCTTGTTGGTACAGCACTTTGGTTTTTTGGATGTTGAGCGATAGGCCAAGCTTTTTGTAAGCTTCTGCGAAGATATTTAGGATGGTTTGGAGGTCATCCTCTGAGTGTGCACACACTACATTGTCATCAGCATATTGAAGCTCTATGATGGAAGTTACGGTAACCTTACGCTTTGCTTTCAGCCTACTCAAGTTAAAAGAGCTTTTCATCTGTTTGATATATGATTTCTACCCCGGTGGGGAGTTTCCCTTTGACAATGTGTAGGATTATGGCAATGAAAATAATAAATAGAGTTGGGGCGATAACACAACCCTGTTTAACACCTGATCCCCGCTGTGAATGGTTCACTTTGAGAGCCATTGTTATCTGTAATAGTTTGTCATATTATCATGGAGGAGCTGAAGGATTGTGTTCCAAGTTGTTGGCATATAGTTTTGGGAACTCTGCCAATACTAAGTCTGTGCTGTATACCTTTTTCTTAAATATCTCTGCAATCATTGCTTGTTTTAGTAAGAACATAGTATCTTTTTGGTCTTGACTGTTGTATTTTATACATCCAATTTACAGCTTCAGGTCTCTAAAAGAAACCACGGTCAGATGCTCTAATCAATATTAGCTTACCCTGTTGCACTTAAGTTGAATATTTTATCCTATTTCAGCCATTATTAGAATTCTTGTTTGTGATAATAGTTTGTCTGCTCAGCACTTTCTCTTTTGTGCCAATATACAGATAGCTTTCTCAGCTGTGGTTTTAGACACAAAATTATCTGTGATTTTTTTTTCTTCATACCAGCAAAATACGAGTTGGTGTAGTTATACACCTATAAGCGTATAAGTCAAGGGACTTAGTTGCGATCTAACAAGATTTAGGTGGATTAAGCTCTGAATTTAATCAAAGGATAAGCTCGCAGCTTTACTTGAAATGAATCAACCTTCCTTACCATTCAAAAATAGCTTTCAGATAGTTGCCATGTGATGGCACGACTATGTTTTAATAAAGGAGGTAGGAAGGAAGGAGATGGCTTTGGGATTTAAAAATAATCTCAGTGGGTCAGTTTTCAAATAAAGGAACAAAGCACTGAGTGAAAACAGTGGTCTGCCTTGCTTAGTAGTGGCTACCTTTTCTGGCCAATATGTTGTAAGTAAAGTCTAACATGCTATTTGTGTGTATATGTGCTTCTGGAACAAGAGTGCACACTTATTATTGCCCTTGCTTAACTGAAACTGGTATAAGTTTCAGTGGCTTCCTGTACATAGGATTGCTATGTTAGTCAGGCAAAGGCTGCAGATAGGTTCATAGCCTTCAGGTATTTGAACTTTAGTTGTGTGTCTTGGTGAATGCTGTATTCTAACCCTGTTCAAGGATTGTGGAGTTGCTTTGTTTAAATACACCTAGAGGTACTAGCATTGTAATTGGTTTGAAACCTGACACAGGCACACCTGGCCACTAAGGAGGTGGCTGTATGTAAATGGCAATCCCTTGAGAAAACAAGAGAGTTGAAAGCAATTAAAGCAGCCCCAAGCAAATAAAATGAAATAAAGGCTCACTAACAGCTAGACAAATTAAAGTGTGTACTTCATGCAGAAAAAACTGAATCTAGGTAGGGAAGGGATTTAAATAATGCAGAGTAAAATACTAAATGCACCTTCCTAGACTGAACACAACAACAATAAATTTGTCACTAATGTCTGAGCTCATTTTCTTATATAAGCAGTACAGCAGGTTCTGGTCCAGTAATAAAGCAAATCTCATTTTCCAATGCGACTAGTGTTCAGAGGCAGATGGAAATAGCAGTTTTGAGAATCTTAATCCAGATTAAGATCCTGAGTTCATTCTTCCAAGCCCTGAGTGAGGACTTGCAACCATGAACATACTAGAATTTTTCTGGAGGCTATGTGTACTACGTATGAAGATTTTGTTCTGTTTTGATTTCAGTAAGGTTTTTTTTAAAATAAAGGTAAAGCACTACTGCTAACATGAATTCTTCAGATAGCTTGTACTATATATATATATTTGTTTCCTTGCACCTATTTACTTAAATATTTTTAATGACTTTGTGTTTAAAAACCTTACAAGAAAGCAGATAATTATTAAAAAGACAATCATTATGTGGATGTCATCTTCTTGACCAGATGTGGGATGAATATTCAGAACAGTAGAATTGGGTGCTATGTTTAGATTTATGTGATACTTGTCTGAGCGCAGCAGTTAATAGACTGTAACTTGTGGTTACATTTCCTTTTTAAATGTCATTTAAGCTGTGAACTATTTCTTGGGTAATGTGCTTTTAGGAAGGGGCTCCTGGCAAGAGAAATTTGGTTATACAAAAGGAGTAAAAGTACCCCAAAACAAATAAATGAGTGAATGAATGAATGAGTGAGTGAGTGACTAGGGAAGACCAAATAAGTATACAATGTTTCTCTAGTATTCATGTTCCAGTGTTAATATGTTGGGAATCTTCCAGTCAGCAACATTAAGGGCCTCTACTTTAACAGCTAGCTCCCACATATTTGCAGACCAAAGATTTATTTAAAATAAAGTTTTGTCTATAGAAATGATATCCAAGATGTTGTAGTGCATGTCTGATCCTTGTCAATGAACTTCCAAGGTTTTGGCCACATGTGTTCCTTTTAAGAGAAAAGTGGGATTTCCAAGACACTTGGAAATTTCTAGAATTTACAGGCACTCTGTGCTTGGTGATTATTATGAGTGAAACATTTTACTTTTGCTGTGTCCATTCCTGCTACCCTCCTACCACTGACCACCGCCTGTTTTATAAATTCGTATTTTGGATAGGATGAGAGAAATGAAAAGGATAATGTGTGCAATCCTTGGTAGCAGATCTAGAAATAGAAACTTTGTTGAGTCATTTCAAGGATTTTCAGGAATATATATGTATGTTGCAATTGCATTCTGTTTACAGCAAATCCTCTTTTGATTCCTGAGACATGTTTTTACCCCCACCCTGGATACTAGTGATATTAACTCTCTGCTGGGTGAAAATCTCCAGCCTCAATTCTAGGTGCTTTAGGACACAATTGTACCAGAAGCCAAACTTTTGTGCCCCCCTTGTCATTGGTGCTCAAACTGATTTTGTCCATGAAGCATCCTTATTATGAGTCCTTTCTGTTTGTATTTAATCAAAGGGATCTTTTCCTCACGACAAATGTAGATTTTTAAATTTTCACTTAAGTATCTTAGGAATCTTTCTGAAACACCACATCTTTCCTTGGATCAGCATCAGGTGGTTTAATCTTACTTGTAGTGTAATGAGGCTCTTTTCCTGTGACTTTGGCAGAGAGGTATGTGCCAAGTATGTGCCCTTGTACCCATGCAGTGTCAGGCGGTTCTCTCTCAGAGCTTGCACAACCTTACAAACAAGATAAGGTCTTATGCTTTATATTAACTCAGTGAACCTTCCCACTTGCTTTGCAGAGCTTTGGTGTGCTTGTCTCCAAGGCTGCTAATGAGGAAAGTTTACTTTCAGGCATGGAATGGAAGCAGTCAGAATGGTCAAAAGCTGGTTACCAGATCTAAAGGTCCTTAAAATGTCTGCAGTATTCAGTGACTTACACTGTTACCTATGGACATAGTCAAATGACTTGCCTTATTGTTTGGCCCTTGACATTTCTTGAATTTTGTATTAACCATTTATTCAAAGAATTGCTAAAATGCCATCTGAAATGGCGCTTTTAAGATTCAAGGAAGCAAAAATCAGGCAATATGTTATTGAGTGAGATTTCTAATGGAGTGCTAATTACTTCCACTTCAAGCTCTTATGAAGATGCCTAGAAGCTAAAGAACAATATTCTCTTCAGGTCCATTACATCAGTTTCTGCAGTCTGTATTAACTGTACAGTCTGCTCCATTATAAGGGACAGGTCTACACAACCTTTATATAAGTTTTGTTACATGTGTACTGTAACTTCTCAGTGGAGGAATATCCAAGCATCTCAGCTGAAGTAATATGATGCAGTGTGACATGGCTAGTGATGTTAAATTCTCAAGAATAATATTTTGGAGGATATTCTCGATTAATGAGAATATTAAAGAATTTTCATTTAAAATAGAATATTCATTTTAATGCATTGAGAATGATATAACTTTAATAATAATATTAATATATTTCAGTATGTCAATCTCTGGTAAATGGCACCTTGTACCATTGAATGGCACTGCAAAAACCAGTTACTGGCACTAAATAAAAATACAAAAAGGTCAGCTGTTTAAATCAAGGCCACCTTACATGCTGTTACACAAAATTGTATAGGCCTAGGTACTTTAAGTGAATAAAGCATTAAAGCTACTCTCTCTCTCTCTCTCTCTCTCTCTCTCTCTCTCTTGCGTGTGTGTGTATATGTGTGTGTATCTATGTGTATATATGTGTGTGTGTGTGTGTGTGTGTGTATAATCACACTGTATGGCCAACGGTATAGAATTGCTAAGAATAAGGTCACACCAAAATAGAAAAAAGCCTATTACATATAGTTGAAATACATATGAATTAAAATGTTCATAAAATTAAATGAATAGCATTTTTAAAACTAAAAACTAAAAAAAAGTTTTCTGTAGCTCACATTTCAGAACTGCCAGTGGTGAATGGCACAATGCCCAGTAATGTAACTGGATCAAAAAAATCATTATTCATTACTTACACTAGCAATATCACAGCTTGACTTATTATTTACTAGATTTTTTAAATGTGCATTGTAAAACTGGTTCTTACATTAGAATTTACAGTTTGTGGAGAATATTCTCCAGAAAATTTTCTAGCAGAGAATATTCTCATCTCACCTCACTAGGCATGGCTATCTCTGCTGAATGGCAAAATACAAACTGAATTTCAAATTACAGAATTTGACTTCAGATGATATCATTTGGTCCAATTCTAAAAACAGAAGAAAATATCTTGTCTATCTATTGGCTCCGTGCCATTAAACCCATTCTGTAGTTGCTCAGCCACACAGCAAGCAGAATCAAGCCTGTTCATGCACCATGCAAAGTTAGAAAGTTCTGAGTACTTCAGAGTTCATACAATGTACAGGGAAGGAGCATAGCTCAGTGATACAGCACATGCTTTTCATGCACAGGCTCCCAGGTTCAGCCCCCAATATCTCCACACAGGGCTTGGAAAGACCACTGACTAAAACCCTGGAAAGCCACTGACAAACAGCATTCTGGACAACATTGAGCTTGATGGGTCATTGGTTTGAATCTGTAAATGGTAGCTTCCTATGTTCCAAAAGAGAATGAAACACTTACCTATAACACTATAATTTCCACATACATTTTGCAGTGTATTTTGCACTACAGTTTTTTTCATATATGGTGTCTAATCTGTGTATATAAAGATGCTTTGAGACTCGCTCCCCACTGCCAGGCATGTTATGAAGTTAATTTGGCAACATCTAGAAAGTTGAAATTTGTTGTGTGTATCCATCACAAGTTGGAAAAATGTGACATTGTTATGGCTTCAGTCTGAATTTCATGTCATAAGTGGACCTCAGAATAAGTGTACTGAGAAAGCAAGCCAATTTTATTAATTTGTTCCAAATTCTTTCTACTGCATTTGCAGCATTCAGGGTGACTTACAAGAGTTGGATTTCTATAAGGAAGTTAATTTACAATCAGCAACCATAATAAACAGCAGTACAGTTGGACGTGGAATGGTGTAGGAGTTTCCCCTTCTGCAATTGAAGTTTCCTCTGTGAGGAATGGGATTTGTTGTGGCATGGGGCAGAGCAGTCTTCACGGCCTAGGACCCTCGTACCTACGGGACCGCCTCTCCCGGTATGCCCCACGGAGAGCCTCAAGGTCCATAAATAACAACACCCTAGTGGTCCCAGGCCCTAAGGAAGTTAGATTGGCTTCAACCAGAGCCAGGGCCTTTTCAAGTCTGGCTCCGGCCTGGTGGAATGCTCTGCCTCATGAGACCAGGGCCTGCAGGATCTGATTTCTTTCCGCAGGGCCTGTAAGACAGAGTTGTTCCGCCTGGCCTTTGGCTTGGAGCCAATTTGATTCCCTCCCTCCCTCTCTTTCTTTTTTCTTTTCCTTCTCCTGCGATGAGGCTACATTTTAATATTTTAATGTTCCATTATTTTAATGTTGTATTTTATTTTTGTTTTTAAGTTGTAATCATTCATCTTGTTTTTATTATTGCTTGTAAGCCGCTCTGAGCCCGGCCTTGGCTGGGGAGGGCGGGGTATAAATAAAAAATTATTATTATTATTATTATTATTATTATTATTATTATTACCACCACCTCTAGTTGCTGGAGGCGGTTTGGATGGGGGGTCCATCTGCCCAGCCCCACTTACACATCAATGTGCCTTCCTAAATGGCAGGCAGGAAGGAACTGCTACCAACAGCATGCATAGCTGTAATAGGCAGTGGAAACCACCTAAATAGGGTATTTGTGGGGCAAAGTTAGCCCAGGATCTACTGGATCCTGCACTGACCCTGCTGCTGTCACATGATGACAGCAGGCCTGATACAAGCCTCTTCCTTGCATCAGTAAGAGCTGGTGGAGCAAATGGTTATTTCTCCCAACTTCTGCCCCAGTTGGCATGAGTGCTGGGGCTGCTGAAATAGCAGTGACTACACTGCCTATCAAGCCTTGCAGTTGCCAGTCTGAGAGTCTGGTTGATCCCAAAGTCTGAAAATGGGACAAGTGACATGCACGTATGCATCTGCTTTATGCACAATTATACCAAAGGTCCATCTAGCACAGTACTTTCTATTTTGGGCAGTATCTCATTGTGGTTTTTGATTTTGCCCTCCCTTCTGAGATTCGTTTTAAACGGAGAAAGCAGAGAATAAACCAGGGGCTTCATAGGAAAACACATTATCTACCACAGAGCAACAATGTCTTCTTCCTGTGGCAGACAGGACTACAGTGATACATTCTTGCAGCATGCAGTATTGTACAGTACATATTCAAGCAAGTGACTGACGTAACCACCAGTTTCTAAATATTTTGTGTGCAAAACTTAATTGGATTGTGCTTCTTAGTTGCTGAGAGTTTATCAGAACTTGAGACAAGCTGCCATCTGATGACTGACTAGGAAAAAATATGGGTGCCATCAGAACCATTTCTAAAGACTGTGCACAAGTGTTTTATGTTTTGCATTTTTGTCAGCAACTATTTGTGTATGGAGTTGTAAAGATTTTTGTTTGTCAGCAGCTGGCAATCTATTGCCACTCAGCAGGCTAATCTTCTGCCTTTAGGTCTTCAGGGGCTCAGATGTCAAAATTTGCCACCACGCTAAAATTGGATTGGATCTCATATTTACCCTTTTCAAAAATCCACCAGGCTAGATAAACCCATTAATCTGCATAATAATAATTTGTAATCTGTAGATAATCTCATTTATCAACTAGAGTATTTTCAAACTGTATGACATATGTGGAAATTATTCTGCTGAGTGCTTTTTGGAGGTAGCTGTTGCAAACCATTACATTCTGATGCATAAATGTGCAGTGGGCAAAACAACCCAGACCAGAAAAAAATATTTTGCACATCCCATTTGCTATGATAATGTGGATATGCAGATTATTTTTGGAACTAAATATTTACATATTGGGTTTTGCTTCCCTTCCTTGTATGCATTTGCTGCACCCATCAGCTTAAACAAATATGAGAGTTATATGTAATTGTCTCTTGTCCTGACTCCTGAGAGGTACCAAGATTTGTGTGCTTCTTCAGGTTTGGACCCTTGTCCTGATATTTAAGCTATGATTATTTGAAAAAAAGAAGAAGTCTGTCATAGAAAAGTTTTTGTTGAGCCTTTTAGGAGCAGAAGTCCATACCCCTTAATGTACAGGTGCCTTAAAAAACAAACAAACTTGTCTGAGCCTTTGAGAGAGTACAAATATTTTATAGATACCTAAATGGAATTGCTCTTTTTGGCTCTTGCTTATACATCATTAGATGGGACGTGGGTGGTGCTGTGGGTTAAACCACAGAGCCTAGGGCTTGCCCATCAGAAGGTCGGTGGTTTGAATCCCTGCGACGGGGTGAGCTCCCGTTGCTCGGTCTCAGCTCCTGCCAACCTAGCAGTTTGAAAGCACGTCAAAGTAGATAAATTACATTCTCTGGCGGGAATGTAAATGGCATTTCCGTGCACTGCTCTGGTTCGACAGAAGCAGCTTAGTCATGCTGGCCACATGACCCGGAAGTTGTATGCCTGCTCCCTTGGCCCATAAAGCGAGATGAGCGCCGCAACCCCAAAGTCGCCCGCGACTGGACCTAATGGTCAGGGGTCCCTTTACCTTTACCTATACATCATTGCACCTGTACGGTACATCCTTCCTGACAGACTCTCTTGGATGTTAGGAGCATCAGAGGAGGTCCTCTAGGTTGCTCTACTGCCCTCAGAAGTTGGGGGGTGGGGTTGATGCAGTAGAGGGAATTCTCTGTGGTATCTCCTAAGCTGGAGAACTCTTAAGTGACTTCTTTCCCCCTCTCTGGTTTAGTGGTGAACAATTTTATTATGAAAATGAAATATATCATATAAGTGCCTCTAGGAAAATAACCTGCAAATTTTCAGAAGGATGTGGGTAGGGCTAGAGAGTTCAGGTCACCTTTAGGCCCTCTAAAGCAGACGAATGTTTACCATGGATCTCATCTCATAGAAAGCTGCTTTATAGAAGTATCTGATCAAATTGAGCTGAACATTATGAAGTCCTGCTTTCTTTAACTCAACCAATCTAATGTGGCAGCTCTGAGTGAAAACCCTTTATTTACTTAGAGCATCTATACTGTAATTTTTAGCCAAGGTAAGGCTATAAATAACACAGCATGGAATCATTTTGATTAATATAATTAAGTGGAAATGCTATTGTGAAAGAAGTACCGGTAGCTTGGTAAAGTTTATTCCTTGAAAAAATAAAAATAACTCTAGTGTCTGTATTCTGCTTAAGTGGAATGCTGTACTTTCACCCCTGCTACGTAGCATTTTAATGGGACTGAGTTTGTTTCTAAATACTTGAATATTTGTGCTTGGGCATTCCTTGTTGCCAGGATGCCACTACCACTCTTTGTGTACTTTATACCATAATGCTAATTGTTGATTCAATTTATTTATAGTTACCATATTCATGTGTTAGAGGAGTCCTTCTTCCCCCTTGATTTACATGACTATAAAAACTACCCTGCAAGGTCTAAAAGATTTTAATAAGAAATGCAATTTTACTAAATTTCCACCATGACTACCAGTGGCATTGTAAAAATGCATTAAAAGCATGACAGATATCTGTGAGTTGGCCATTAAAAGCAAACTCAAATATTCTTGCAAAAGTCTGATGAAGGATAATGTCTGATTAAACAGAATATTCAAATATAGTTATTAAGAATATTTTGTGAACAAGCCCTGAATGCCTCCAGGAGCCCACCCAGTAATTTAGATTCATTATCTTCAACTTAAAGGAAGTTTTCAGGCAACACTGTTTGGATAATAGCTTGGCATTACTACTGGTTGAAATTTCTAGCAATTTGTTAGGTGTTTTTGTATGACAGCTGTTTTGGTGTATTTATCTGTACATCATCCACTGCCTAGCACAATTATATGTAGATTAGAAGCCCTCCCTCCCTGCTGCTGAAGAGATACTGGGGTAGAGGGTGCATGAGGAATGTTTTGGATCTGCGTTCTCAGAAAAGCATGTTGCAAAAGATTGTAGCAGAATATTTTATCTGGGCTGTACCATGTCAGACTGCTCTCACATTATTGAATCTTCCCCCAAAGCCCACCCCCACTCCGTCCATATAAAATTAACTTGTCTGGGAGAAGGCTATGTTAGAACTCTTTCCTTTCACATCTAGTTTTTTTGAACATATGGATATATTTATTTTTGTTCATGGAAGAGCATTCATGTGAGTACCACCCCTTTCCCATATGACCTAGTATGAAAGCCCAGCATAGAATTTTTTTTACCAACCACAAGCCTGCAACCTATGTGGGTGTTATGTGGGGATTGCATCTAAAGCCAAAAGTGTGTATAGTCAAAACACTTTGGGTTCAAATGGCAGGTGAGATTGCCAAAGTATTTTTTTCTTGGATGGCCCCCTTTTAATTTTTTTGCCAAGTACATAAAGCTGAATCGGCACAAGTTAAATGTGTATAAGTTGTGGGCTTACTGTAGTTTGGAAAACTGTAGGCCTCTTGCACAGGATGGTTGACAAGAATCTTCCTGAGAAAGTGACTCCCTGCTTTCCTCTGATGAGCCATGGCACAACCAAATGAATTTATTATCTATGAGCTTCCTCAGATCTAACTTGATGCAGTCTTTTCTTGCTGACTAACGATCTAGAGTCTAGCCCTTTGTGTGTTACTCTCTGATGTATGTGTTTAAGGCCAACATTGTGTTTCTTTTTATTTGCAGGCCAACTTTTTAGTACTGCATCAAGTAAAAATCAAGGGCAGTTGATACAGTTGATACAGTTTTCATACATTAGTATCTGAAATACATGCTTCATTTTGTGTGTGTTGCATTAAATAACCCCAGTGTCAGAATAAGTATTGATCAGGGCTTTCACCCCACTGGACTTTTCCAACATGCAATAATTAGAACAATTTCTTCACACATTCTCCTCTGTAGTGTAAACTTGCAAGGGGCCTTTGTTTTTAAATAGGAGAGCCCTTCACTGAATAAAAACTTGGTGTTTTTTGTCAACTTGCATTGACATTGCACATTCTGCCTGGATGGAATTTATTTTCCACTTCTGTCAAAATAAAAGCAATGGCCTGGAGTTAACAAACTCTGTGCTTGAACACATCTGAAAAAATTCCAGTACTACTTATCTCCCTGCCTGCATAGCCTGTGGCAAAATGCGCATCTAGTCTTCACAGTTCACTACATAGCATGATTGCAAAGCATACCTAATGGCTGTCTTTGGTGCCCTGTGTAGCATATGTGTGCTACCTTATTTCTCACTTCATGGTCCTTCTTGGTAGTGGCACCCCCACCCTACAAAACTTCCTGCCCAGGGAGGCATGTCTAGCTAGTTTTGCTCATTTTCTAAAGGGTGAGAAGAGATGGGCCTTCCTGCAGAGTACTGGCATTGCAGGTTGGCCCTTGTGGTCTCTTCCTGCTTTCACTAATTTTATTAAATTTCTTCACCTCAAAGCACACAAACCTGTTCCAGTGCATGTGAGTTTAAGCAAAAACAAAACAAAAACCTGTATATATCATACATCTAAAATACACAGCAATTGAGAAGCAATATACATAAGACACATTCTGTAGTGACCATTGGCAAAGAAATAATTTTTAAAAGATTTTAGAACTTGTCTTCTTTCTGTAAAAAGGCCGTGACTAATTTAACCTTCGTTTTTCTTGCAGTGAACACCTACCTCTTCATGATGCAAGCCCAAGGCATCATGATTCGTGAAAACATGAGAACAATAGGAGCTCAGGTTTATGAACAGGTGGTCCGCAGTGCCTATGCCAAGAGGAACAGCAGTGGGAATGACTCAGGTATGTTTAATAAACCTTTCTCCTAAGGTAAAAAAGACCGTCTCAGGTAGGAGTGGGGAACTTCCCTTTGTCTGACCTTATCCCAAGAATCATTGAACAGCTTTTAGACACAGTAGACTGAAAGCTGTCGCATTGAGATTTCCAGTGGAACCAGTGTATGATAGTGGCATTTATAAGGATACTGAAGTACCTTGTTTTCTATTTGAATATCTCGGATAGTAATCATCTATGTTCCTGACTTGAATTTTAACCTCATAAGCTTTACTCTGATTCGATTACGGGGCTGTTACTAATATATAACACACTTTACTTAACTAACACTGTTTCTACTATGACCTGAATAAAATGCCTATTCCCTATGTTTAATGAACTCACATATGGTGCCAGTAGTTCAGCTGCGCATTATAGCTCTCTTCTCAGCTGGGCATCTATTTAATACATTGGATCTGTCAGAGGTCTTTTTTCAAATGTTACGCCTAGGGTACACAGAATGTCCCAGGTTCAATCCCCGGCATCACCAGGCAGGGCTGGCAAAGATTACCTACCTGAAACCCTGGAGAGCTGCTGCCAGTCAATGTAGACAATACTGAGCAAGATGGACCAATAGTCTGGCCTAGTATAAGGCAGCTTCCTGTGTTTCTATGAAAAAAACCCAGAAGTGATTCTGCAGTTTATGCCATCTTCTGGATGGTTACCCAAGTCACTTAGTAGTCTTACCAGTAACCCACTGCATAGTGATTTTGCCTGCTGATGACACAGTTGACACTCTTCTGTCTCAAATACATAGCCAAATAACATTTTTGATCACTGCTCATTGCTATATGAACAGTTCACACTGAATGAGCTAAAGTGGACAACACATTAGCCTTGTTTGCACATCATATTATGTTATAGTACAGAACAAACATGGTTTTTTATATGAACCAGCCTCATGCTTGTGTATGCAAGTCTAGCTGTGGGAACAAACTCAATAGTTTCTTTTCTGGACCTGGGCTCCATTTGTGGACCCTTAGAAGGATGCCTGTAGTCAGTTAAATAACAGTATCTCAACTTGAGTGCTCATTATCTACAAGAAGGTATAGCCTACCTTACCTTTAGGCCAAAAGCTCATTGGAGACCTGTTAGTTTGACTCATTCTGAAACCTAGGAAAAGCCATCTAGTTTCACTACATTCCCAGAACATTGAGTAAGTATGGGGAGAAGTAGGCTCATTGTTTCTGCACTAAATGATGATGATGATGCAAAAAGCAAAGCAGATATACAACCAGAAAATTCTGTTTACCTTACATGTCTATTTGTTCAAAGTCCTAGGCTGTTCAAATACTCTGAGCTGGAATTAGGTACTGCATTGGTCTTCTCATTGCTGTTAGTGTTATATTGAACCCCAAACCATCAAGCATACATTCATAGAAATTGTCATCATTTTGGGCTGACACACAACCCTTGAATCACAGTTGGTTGCAAAATCAACTTGGTCTCATTTGTTCAGTATTGTTTGGCAATAATAATGTCATTTTAATTTCCATTTAACTACCACACCCAAGAGGTGGAAACTACTGCAGATTTTCTCTTTCTGGGAGGACAAGTGAAGGAGGAGCTCTGTAAGATATGGATTTCCCTATGCATATGGGAAGAAGGAACCTTTAATAACCTTATACATCTGTCACAGTTTTTTAGATTACACAACTAAGCCAGTCATCTTTGTAAATGCCAGTTGTCTCATTTTCCTAATGCTATTTTTAGATGGCTTGAGGAAGTTATGAAACCTGGCATGCAATCCAGGCAATTGGTCCAAGGGTTCTTTGGTACTAGGATGCACTATTGATGTTGTATTTTGGGAGGGACTGTCATTCAGCTACATTTGAATAATCCACATACCTTTCAGTAGTTTTCTCTTTTTACCTGTGGAGAAAAGACAAACAAGCTAAAACTTAGGAGAATGGTAGAATTGCAGTGAGTATGAGTGGAGTGAAGGTTTATCTTATTTATGGAAAGAGCATAAGAACCCTGCCAGATCAGGCCAAAGACCCTGTCTAGTCTAGTATCATGTTCTCACAATGGCCAGTCAGATGTCAATGGGAAACCTGGAGGCAGAAGCTGAATGCAACAGCTCTGTGCAAGATCCCAGTAATTAAATGAAGCTTCTGCTAGTAGTACTACTATTGAACTCTCTAGCATTTTTCAGTGTGTTAGCAGGGAACCCTGTGCTATACTAAAATAGTAACATTCATGAAAAGCATGATGAGTAGAACAAAGCAAGCAGAAATACAACATGTACTTGCCTGATTTTAATAGAAATTTGTTTATTTAAATATGGCAATGACCATAACAAATGGCTCATCCAGATGCTAATGGTGTCCTCTGGATTGTCATTGCTGATTTACATGTCAGCTTCTGTTGTATTATGTTCCAATACAATAAGCTTTATGACTGCTGACCTTTATGGCATGAGTTGAAATGATGGAGGGGTAATTTTTAATGTTAGACTATAATTGCAATACCTTTTCTGTCTTAACTTTGCAGGCCCTACTGACTCACTTGATAGCTTGGGGCTAGTGAATTATTCCCTGAAAATGCAAATAAGCACTTGTGACTTGACATTTCATTTAAAAAAAAAATGCTCTGTGAATTGTTCAACTGACTGGGGGGAAGGCATAACTTACAGCCCTTGGACAGAGATGGAGTTAGGGGAAAAAACCAAATAGATGGAGAAGATTAGGCAGAGAGGCACAAGGCTGTACCTGTGCTATTGTCCCCAGAAGAACCTTGGGACATATTCCTGTTAAACCAAGAATACCATAACTGTGCATAGAATTTGCACAGCTTAAGATTCAGCTGCAGCATCCTGTAAAGCAATTTTTTTGTTTGAGCTAGGTGTCCGTAAGTGTCTTAGTAGATTCTTGTGGTTGAAGGGAACAAGGCAGTTGTAGGAGTCTGGTTTAGGGGAGCAAAGCCTACCTGACCAGATTAGATTTGGGCAAAGGATAACAGCCAGAACAGTTATTACATAGTTGAATTAATTTACTCTGTGCATCACATTTTTTCAAACTAATAATGAAAACTTATCTTTCAAGGCACTGAGGTTGTACAAAATGAGAGATGCAGCATGACAAACCTTAGAATGAGTGGCTGGAATTTTTCAAATGTATTAGAGAACTGTATGGCTTCTCTGGGAAAACACTGTCAGCAGTGCCTTAGTTGCTTTATAGATTTGTAACCCATTAATAATTCCATAGTTTTATTGCTTAATATAGAATTAAATGCTAGGAACATGCTTATTTGTGTTGTATAGCACTTGATGGTGAAGCAGCGAAGTACTCTAAATCATGGGTAGGCAAACTAAGTCCCGGGGGCTGGATGTGGCCCAATCGCCTTCTCAATCCAGCCCGCAGATGGTCCGGGAATCAGCGTGTTTTTACATGAATAGAATGCGTGCTTTTATTTAAAATGCATCTCTGGGTTGTTTGTGGGGCATAGGAATTTGTTCATTCCCCCCCCCCCCAAAAAAATATAGTCTGGCCCCCCACAAGGTCTGAGGGTCAGTGGACCGGCCCCCTGCTGAAAAGGTTTGTTCACCCCTGCTCTAAATGTTGTGGTTAGCAGCAGATATTGTTGATGAGTAAAAGAGCCTGCAAAGTTAATAGCATAAATAGCACTCTTTTCTCTCCTCCCACCTCCCAGATTATCCTCTTGATTTGAACCACAGTGAAACATTTCTGCAAACAACAACTTTTCTTCCCGAAGACTTTACATACTTTCCAAACCATACCTGCCCTGAAAGACTCCCTTCTATGAGTAAGTACCGAAGGACTTGCAGAACAATTTGCCTTACTTTCTCATCACTCCTTTCATTTCGTAGCCCCTCATTATCTATGGGCTTAAAAGCCAGTTGGATGAGTAAGTAGGAGGTACTCTTTATTTTCGTGGTGTATTTGAAGTCTTCATTGTTCTTCAAGAATTCTCAATTTTCTAGTAGTAATGAGTGCTTCACTGGTTGAGCGATTGAGAAGATTGTAACACTAATTCAGTCCAAAGATGAGATAGCATGTTCCATGTATTGCTGGTCTTAAAATACTCAGATTCAAACATGAACTCAGATAATTATGTTGAAGGACAAGGCTAGATACCACATTGAACATTTGCTGTGTGAGTCTCTTAAAAACTTTAAATGCAAGCTATTATTATTATTATTATTATTATTATTAATAATAATATTATTACCCTACCTTTTTCCCTAATGAGATTCAAGGTGGCTTACAGATAAAAACAAGTACAGCTAAAAACATAGAAAAATATATCATTAAAATACAATTAAACAGAGATAGAATTTAAACTATATACATATATAAAATCTGTTTAAAACATACCAACAAGCCATGAGAGGGATAAGGATTGTAACCATGATAAGTGCAATTTTTTTTACAGCCTCCCATGTTGTTACCCTAAACCTGATGAGACAGTCTATCTGCTTAACACTTTACAGTTGAATTCAATGAAGCTTGAATTCAAAGCATGGGTAGGGAAACTAAGGCCCAGGGGGCTGGATCCGCCCCAGTCGCCTTCTAAATCTGCAGACAGTCTGGGAATCAGAGTGTTTTTACATGTGTAGAATGTATCCTTTTATTTAAAATGCATCTCTGGGTTATCTGTGGGGCCTGCTTGGTGTTTTTACATGAGTAGAATGTGTGCTTTTATTTAAAATGCTTCTCTGGGTTATTTGTGGGGCATAGAAATTCGTTCATCCCCCCCCCCAAAAAAAATAGTCCGACCCCCGACAAGGTCTGAGGGACAGTGGACCGGACCCCTGCTGAAAAGGTTTGCTGACCCCTGATTCAAAGTGTTGAACTTCAGCTGCATCATTCCTTTAATATGAGAAGTCAACGTTCTACAAAACATATTAAGCACACCTCAAAATCAATTATAACCCCATATATATATAGAAATCAATTGCTTTTGACATACTGGGAGTTATGAAAATGTAAGAATTGAAATGTGCAGCAATATGATGGGGTAAAGAAATTCAAGAATTGTAAATGCATATTCTCAATCAGAGCTGTACTTGTTTTTTCTCATAACCTGCTTTTTAACTATGTACGCAGAGGGCCCTATTGATGTAAATATGAGTGAAATCAGTATGGAAGAGATCCACCAACTCTTCTCTCAAGATCCTGCTATCAAACTAGGAGGCCACTGGAAGCCTAAAGACTGTTTGCCTCGTTGGAAGGTAATCTAAAGACAGGGAAAGCTGAAGCTTATCTTTCCCAAACAATAGTATTATTATACCGTAAGGAAAATAATAGGCTTGCATAGCTAACTTACATCCAATTCCTGCAGAAAATGAAAAATACTTTTCCCTTTGTTTTTTTAAAGAAACAAACTTCCAAAGTGCCCTGCATAAAATCCCTCAGATGTATCTGCCCCCAGTTTGGGAGGCTTAATACACTCTGGAGGGACTGTTGAGCTTGTGCATTTAATCCACTTCTGTGAAAAGAAAAAAAGTTGTAGCCTTTTTGCATTCCCCATTATAGTAACTGGGGATGGGGAAAAGAGCCTCCTTTTTAACACATCTAATTTAGTCCTGAAGAAGAAATCAGTTTAGAAAGGACTGCTTTCCACAGCTATAGATATTCTGGTGGGTGCACACCCATACAAACTTTCTCTTCCTCAGGCTATATCAATTGCACAGTCTAGCCTGGTCTATGTTGTTAAGTGTGTACCTGTGGCAACTGAAGCTTTCAGTGGTTGTGTAAAAGAATTAAATAGGTTCAGACCATCCTGCTCCCTAACATGGAGCTTTCTGGTCATGTCTTTAATATTCTGAAATCCCTGTTTGTAACTCTTGAGTACAGTCATACCTCGGGTTGAATGCTTCGGGTTGAGCGCGTTCGAGTTGCGCTCCGAAGCAACCCGAAGCAGAAGCTCAAAATGATGTCATGCGCAGAAGCGGCAAAAAGTGATGCTTGTGTGTGCAGACGTGCCATCGCTAGTTACGTTTGCTTCTGGATGCGAACGGGGCTCCGGAATGGATCCCATTCGTATCCATTGTACATAACAAAAGTTTGAATTGCAGCAGGCTTTAAAACGCTAGAAGGATTATGAAATCCAGGTTCAAATTCTCAAGGGATGAGGATAGTTTAGCCAGTTGCCCATTCTTGTAGATTTTACTCTGGAAGATTGTATCCATTTGATTTACGTGTCCTTGGTGTTTTGTGCTGGTAGCCTGTGAACTGATAAAGTTTTGGTTGCTTCCAAGATCTAGAAAGAACTAATGGTCATTTTTTTTGTCTCTAGGTGGCAATCCTTATCCCATTCCGCAACCGTTATGAGCATCTGCCAGTCCTCTTTAGACACCTTATTCCAATGCTGCAACACCAACGTTTACAGTTTGCATTTTATGTTATTGAGCAAGTAAGTTAGTTTGTGTGTATTGTTGCCCCCCCATCTAATTTCTCTTCAGAAGAACATACATTGAAATAAGATGACCTAGTAATGGTCTTCTTTCCGAAATACGCGTTGAGAGAAAGACAGTAAACTGTGCTTTCCATAGGGCTCTTGCATACTGTATTAAATCCCTAAAATGTGCCCAGAATGTGCCTGCAGTTAGTGATGCCAAAATACATGCCATGTTAGCTTTCCCCGTGTGGTAGTGAATGTCCCCTTTCTGCGATCAGCAGTTGGGACCCAAATACTACTTCACTTTATCCTGTAATCAGTCCAGCAGGTTTTTATGAAACCTCTCCAAACATGCACCATTAAACTTAAATTATTTTCTGGTGTCACACTTTGCTCTGAAAGCTGATGTAATCATCCGGTAAGTTCTTTTTAGCGGATATTGCTGATTTTGGCCTTGGTTTTGAAATGAACTTTTCATATTAAATTGCTGTGCAGCAGTGAAATGCTCCTATAACTAAACTCTCTGCAAGTAACTGAGATACCATATTGTAACTATTTTTTATTTGCCATGCTGCCCTTAAAGGTGCATGTGAACTCCTCAGGGCTTGGCACTAGTAGTTCTTAGCCAATGCGACTAAAAAAGACAAGTGTGATAAATTGTCCTATGTTTATGTAGCAAGCAGAATTTATTGGGGAGGCAAGAAAAGGAAGAAAATTGTCGAAGTAATTGTCAAGCTGAAGTAAATTGCAGTTACTCTAGTTGTTCATCCAATCTGGGAGGTAATTAACTGTTAGAAAGTCAGTATATATATCTGTAGTGTATCTATGAGACATGTAGAGCTTCTAGCCCCCAGGCTGCGGAAAATGACCAGGCCACAAATCCAAACTGGCCAGTCTGTGTAGTATTGGGCAAATGGGATCTAGAAGAAACCTAACCTGTTCAAGCAGTGTTGCAAGTTAATTCCAAAAGCCCTTACATCTTTTGTATACCTTCTAAATATGTTTCTGCCTTGATTTAGATTGTATTTTTCTTCAGGTCTTTCCTGAAATTAGTTCTAAGCAGTTATTCTATGAAAAAGAGAGACAGTTACTTATCCCTAGCTACTCATTGTGTTTTTCTAACAAAATTTTCTGTCAGCCTGAGCCACATGGTTGGTTTATTTAGCTCAACATTGTCCTAGTGTGCAGCAGATTTCCAGGATCTCAGTCAGAAGTATTTACCAACACCTAGTCCCTGAATTTCTATTGACTGGAGATGATTGGGATTGAACCTGAAACCTTGTAAAGCATGAACTCTGCCAATTAGCTGTAGTCCTCACATTGGCAATTGATGAGATATAGCTGAGTGGTACAACATAGGATTTGCATCCCTAAAGTTCCTGGTAGGGATGGACACATCAGGTTTTTTTCCAGTCAATGTCGATTTCACACATGTACATGTGGAAGTCTGTTCAGTTTTTGCATTATCTGTGATTTAAAAAAGAAAAGAAAAATATGTATTTAAAATTGTATTAAATACATAAATATGTATTCTTTTGCAATATATTTAAATATATTTATCTCAATATACACATTTCTAATTTTATCCCAAAACACCCACCTTTTTTTTTACATGTTTCATTTTTTTTGAACTGAAAACGGTTGCAAAATTTTGAGAAGTGCAAAATCTGCATTCTGATCCATGCATTATACCAAGTGATATGAATTAGGTTAGCACTTAAATGTGAACCAGAATTCTCCATCTCTAGTGTTGTAAACAAATGAATGAACACTTGTAATTAATTGGTTGGGATTCTCTCTCAGGCTGGTAACCAACCCTTTAACCGCGCCATGCTCTTCAATGTTGGCTTTCGGGAAGCAATGAAGGACTTGGACTGGGATTGTTTAATCTTCCATGATGTGGACCATATACCTGAAAATGACCGTAACTATTATGGATGTGGGCAGATGCCAAGACACTTTGCAGCAAAGCTGGATAAATATATGTATCTGTAAGTAACTACAATCATGTGCTTTACTTTTCAAGTTAAAATGGTTAAAGTAAGCAGAGGCAGACACTTCTGTGTCAGTTTGCATCCTAGAAAAGTGCTATTTATGACAGGCAATGAAAAGGAAGCCAAATTTGTTCTTACCTGTATTAAGTTCTGTTCATAGTAACCTTGACTGAAACTTCTTTTTATACAGCCTCCCTTACAATGAGTTCTTTGGAGGAGTGAGTGGCTTAACAGTGGAACAGTTTAAAAAAATCAATGGCTTTCCAAATGCCTTCTGGGGCTGGGGCGGAGAAGATGATGACCTTTGGAACAGGTAAATTGCATGCAAAATAGGTGGGATTGCATTACATGCAAGTTCTAATTGTGTTATGACTCCCCCATAGGCTATCCAATTCCCACTGTGCCAGATGAATAACAAGAATTATGATATAAAATATTGTGGCATGGGGGTTAGGGCTGGCTTAGCTTTGGAATGATTGAGGATTGGTAACACTTCTTCTGGGACACACACCTATCTTGGCAGTATAAGCTACCCATAGGGATTGCCTATTTCCCTTCTGTGTAATTTGGCCATGTGCCTGTGACTTCCAGTCTTTCAGAGTAACATTTAGACAACTCCCACCCCCCTCTGCATGACTTTTAAGGAAGATCTTCCACGATCTGTAACATTTTTATGTCCTGTGGGATGGGTTTTCTTTACTTAGCAGTTCTGGATGGGGTGGTGGGCTGCTCTGTCTCAGGGTCACATGCTTTCTTCTCCCCCCCCCCATTGCCCATTGTATTTCCTAACTAAAGTATGATGTTCAGTTAAGCGTTTGACCTACACATGGTATAAATATGATCATTTTGGTTACATAAGATTGTCAGGAGCACTAGCTTACAAACCATATTTTGGGGGTTATTGCTCAGATTGTGCAGTCCTGGCAAATGTTGAAGTCAAAAATGCTAAAAAGTTTTTCTCTTTCCTCTTTCCCCTCCAGAGTGCACTATGCAGGCTACTTGGTGACTCGGCCAGAAGGAGATACAGGGAAATACAAGTCTATTCCACATCATCACAGAGGAGAAGTGCAGTTCTTAGGAAGGCAAGTCAAATTTTATCAGAGAAATACTCATGAGAGTACAGATTTCCTAGCACTTCAGGCATGTGTCTGTTGCTAACCTGTCTGATCTCAAACACTAAAACTCTGCCACCTTAAAAACTAAGGGTGGAGTCAAGTGACTTAAAAGCTTCTAGTGTGATACTTTAAACCATATATGGGGTGTTGTTGCTTACATTCTTCAACATCATTCTCCAGCATCATAGTTAAGCTTGGTATAATCACACTTCTTCAGAAATGTATGTGGATCTGACGCTTCGTTGTCTGGTGTTACAGATTATATTGGCTTGCACCTCTGTGATTCCTTAGCATTTGAATCCATGCTTAGCCATCCTGAGAGATGCAGATGATTTTAGCATATAGCTGACGTGTTATGTCTATCACAGAAATATATGTAGTGGCACTAGGAACTTCCATTGTGCTGGATCAAACCTACCAACCCAGACATTCATATACAATTACCTTGTGTCTCAATTCCAGAAATCACATTGGTTGCCCAATTAATGTAAATAGAATAAAAATACCTTGCTTAGCCCTTGCCCAAACCTGCCCAATATTTCAATTGGATTACCAAGTGTGAAGATTCTGGATTCTTGTGCAGAGCTCAACCAGCCCTGTAACATCACCAGAAACGTCAGTATGCCAGCTACAATAAAATTAATTTCAGCTGTGCATGTATAAAATGCAACTTCTGATCATGGACAATCCACATGATTTTTTCCCCACGCCTCACTGAAATATAGCTATGCCATTATTTTGCTATACATATTCATTGCATGGGACTTGGGCAGAAGAAGCTGACACACTAATTTATATTGACTAATTTATATTGAAGGCTAATAGCTCAATGGAGCATCTGATTTGCATGTAGACGTATAATTTTCAATCCCCAGCATCTCCATGTAAGTCTGGGAGACACCCATTGTCTGAAACCCTGGAGAGCTGCTGCCAGTTGGTATAGACAGTATTAAGCTAGATGGAACAATGGTCTGATTCTGTACAAGGCAGCTTCATGGGTACAAACCCAGCAGCCATTGCAATACTTGACAGAGGCTCATATGGTTTTCTCTGCCTTAGCAAGGTTTGGCACAAATGAGGATTTACTAATGCTTTCACTTGGGAAATATGTTTCTCCTATTTTATTCTAAAACATGCTTCTGCTACTTTATTCTGAACCATGACATTCAGAAATCTAAAAGCGATCCAAGCACTAAAATGTAAATAACTTGATGAGTTCAGTATTCTCCACTTGAATGAGGCTTTCCCCACCCCTTTCCACAAACAGGCAGCTAGATATTTTGTACATTTGCTTTAAGAAAAAGATGTTGAGGATGACTTGGCAACTTTGTCGGTAGTGGCTATTCTTGCAGGATAATGCCAATTGCTATTAAATAACAGAAATTGTGATAAAGAAGTAAACAGGAAATTTTTAAGTGTTATACAGTTTGTGTGTGTATAATTTATTTATTTGAATAATAAATGCCAGTTTTCTAACAAAAATTACAATAAAAACACAAATAGCATGTCAATTCAAGGTAAAAACTTCAAGTTCCAAAATAGGAATGACATCTGCCAGACCGCTGGCAAGGAGTTCCAAAGGGCAGAGCCTGCCACACTAAAGGCTCAGTCCCTGGTGAAGGCTGGCTGAACATAAAGATGATGGGGGACAACCAAATGTGTCCTAACAGAAGATCTCTGTGATAGAGATGGAGTGTAAGGGATCGGGAAGTCCTTAAGGTACAGGCAACTCCCCATTGGTGTGCAATTGACACATGTACGACCACTGACACACCCAACATTTTTGGCAGGGCAGGGGGCTTACATCCTGCAGAAACGTGTGGTTCCTTGGAATGCAACTCCTGAGTAAATGGGCCGTTGCCTGTACTTGGGGCCTAAGGTTTTTTTGTTTTGTTTTTTTAATGGCTATGTGAATTAACACAAGAATCTTGGCCTGGTAGCAAATAGGCAACTAGTACAGTTCTTTCAGCAAATGAGTGGCATGTTGTTGGTAACCTGCTCCTGTGTGTAGGCGTGTCCATTGTATTCTGCACTTCTTGCAGGTTCCAGACCAGATAAAAGTGCAGCCCTTCATAAAGCACACACACATATTGTATGAGTATTGCAGCATGCTCTCTAAATTAACTGCACACTCAAGCATAGAATGAGTCTGCAGTGCATGTTCTGGGCTGTTTTCCAATCTCTCCTTTGCCTTGATGAGCCATTTGATGCATTATTTCACTTAACTTCCCAGATTTCATTCTGCTGCTGCAGTTGGCAGGCAGAGATTGTGTGTCACATTTAAAAACAGAGTAGCCATGAATTAAACCTGCCTGCAGGTAATGTCCCTCAACTTAGCAGCCTTTCCTCTCTAACTCCAAATATGTGGGACAGAGCGTCACTGAAGTCCAGCTTGATCAGTCCAGAAGCCCATCTAGTTCAAGTTCCTGTTTCTCACCATGATGCCTATGGGAAGCCCATTGGAGAGTGGCCGCTCTGCACATGACTTCAGAGCTAAGCCCTGGCCTTGAAAATAGCCCCAGGCTATATTAAACTCTCATGAGGATTTGCCCCAATTAACAAATCTGCAAAGTGGTTCAAAGAGGTGTTTGGAGGAGCACAGCCAAATCGTTCAGTCACAAGTCCTAGGTGGGGGTGGTCAACATTCTTTCATCTGATTGCTTAACAACAACGATGAAGTATTTATACTGTCTTTAGCAATAGTGCTGCCTGCTGAGGTCAAAGCCTTAGAGATGTATCTCTGCACTGTTTTATAACTTTCTTTAGGTATGTCAGATTGACTTACTTTTTCTAAATGAAAGCTAAGAACATAGGGCTCTGGGCCTGGTATTTGTGGCAGCCCTGTACACAATATAGAAAATTGGAAAGCAGTCTTGCAGTTGTGCATAATAATTTTTTTTAGGAGGTGGGGCTTGAAAATAAATTATGTTGCATTTCCTGCCACAGTATGTCTGATGCAAATCTAATTGCAAATTAAAAATATTTCTCAGTGTGCTTTTTGAAATCCCAGCCTCCTACTTATGATCATTACTTTCTGAATGCTTGTAATATGTTTAGGGACAGAAGTCTATCATACTAAGCATCCTGTTAGTAGAAATACACTAATTTCTCATCTTCAATTTTGAACATTTACGTTAATGTCTCCCAACTTTTTATTCCAATAGGTATGCACTGCTGAGGAAGTCCAAAGAGAGGCAAGAATTAGATGGCCTCAATAACTTGAACTACTTTCCAAATGTTACATATGACGCCTTGTATAAAAACATAACTGTCAACCTGACGCCAGAGCTGGCTCTGGTGAATGAATACTGAGAAGATGAAAAGAAGAAAACATATTATTTTGTAGGTATCTCTTGGACAAGAAAAATCTTGTGTCTAATGAAGGATCACAGTAATTTTGAAGAATAATACTCCACGCACACAGATCGTCAGATTATAAACTCACTCAAGACTGTGCAGCGAGCTTGGACTTCACTTGCTTTTTGATTTCTCTTTTTAAAGAACAGTGATGTGACCTGCTGCTTTTGTTCCAGCATTCCATCTCCTTAATCTTCAATACCAAACTGTGACTGAATGTGCTTTCCTGTTCATCAAACCAGTTTGGCTAAAAAGGACGCCATTGGCTTCTTGACTTTGGGTGCCAGAAGCTTATCTGGAGGCAATGACCCTAATGGGAGATGAACTGCTACTTAACAATGATATCATTCTTCTACATTTGTGTTTCTATTGGTTTTTTTTAACTGAACTGCTTGAAGACTATATACTGTATATAAATATATATACATACACACACAACAGAATCACTTCTTAAAGAAGTGCAGGTGTAAATAAGCTTGTAGAAATTGCATTTTTTATAACTATTTTATGATCCCAAACTGAAGCTGAAGGTTTACAACATAAGATAATTTATGTAAGCCCCCACCTGTGCAAACACTTCAGAACATCAGATGACATTCATGTGAGTAATTTTCTTCAGAGCTACTTACCTGTCTGTTTGCAGGTTTGGGACTCTGCTAGTAGGTTATGAAGCTTAACAAATGGAAGCCATAGCAGTGCTTATTTGGGGGGTGGAATCTGACTTTGGAAATAGGGATTCCATTCATTAATGAACAAAGACCAGTCTCGTGCATTTTGTGGTTGGATAGCCTTTCCAAATTGTATGCTGATTGATCACATTCTGCCATATATCTCATAGTGGAAGCTAAACACAGGAAGAAATGCTTCTAAATCAGCTTTGCCTTTGCAAGGGACAGATTCTCCAAAAAGTTGTAGGTCGTCACTCACCCCTCATATCCACACATTTTTGGTTCAGACTAAGTTTGCAAAGTCTACAGTGATTCCTGTAATTGAACTTTGGGCGTGGGGAAGTTATAGTATTTTGATATATTTATTGTGTAAATGAAACTGTACACTGAACTAATCTAGGTTAAAATTGTAGGTTAGAACTCTTGGTTATTACAGTTAACTGAGAAGGTGTTGCACAAGTACAAATACTGGGATAAATATATCCAGACTCCAAATCATAATTAAAAGAATGAAGGGCATTGAGATTAGTTCAGGGGGGCAGAATGTGAGTCTCTGTGACACAAGTGCTTGGTCCATATCCTCCATTCAGTTTCACAGATCTGGTTTTTGTTTAAATGGGCATCCTAGATTTGTGCCTTTTTTGTTTCATTTTTCAAAATCCACCTGTTCATACTGTATGTACAAACTTTTTTTTTTTTTTACTAGGGCTTATAACCCTGGTAAATGTCTTCTTGGATTGCTCTAATATATATTTATAGACGCAGATTGTGAGTACTTAACCGGAGAAGTACTTTAATTTCTTTTATTGCATTGTTGCCTTCAATTTGTTTAACTTGGATAGTTTACACTTAGTTTCTTTGGTTCGGTGGATGTATGATCCCCCATATACATTTGTTGTGGGTGTGACTGACCAAGCCTATTTTCTTACGTCTCAAAAGAGTTATGAAAGTGTGTGTGTGTGTGTGTGTGTGTGTGTGCTCGCACGTGTGTTTGTGTCTGTCTTATCAGCCCATATGAAAGGCAGCAAGTCTGCTCTTGAGAATGCTGGTAAGTGTGCTTTAAAATATTTCATAAGGGGAACCCTTCATGGCTGCTGCAGAGGTAAGGATTTGCGTGTCTTTTTATTTTTTTATGGCACATAGAGCAATAAAGACTTCTAAATTTTGACTTTTTTCAGATGTGGATAAGACACATACCCTTTTCTTGCTTGTCTTTCTTTTTTTTTTAATCTAGAAAACAACATCTTTATTTAATGGTGCTTCAGTTGAGGAATGTATTTTCAAAATGTCTGAATTCACCATCACATCTACATATACCCGAATAGATATTGGTCTGTGTGGCATTTCAAATCCTCAAGCTTTTGAGTAGATTGCCATCCCTCTAGAACCCCTGTTCTTGAACAAGAAAAGGAATTACCTCTGCTCAGAAAGGCATTAAAGATTAGCATGAAAGGGTCAGTTTTGCTCCTTAATCAATGGCTTTTGGTTTATTTTGTTCTTTCCAATCAAGTTGTTTTATTTTCCTCTTTTAAAATGTGGAATATCTTTGAAATGTGCACTGTTATTCTTATCAGCTAAGTCAAATACTATATAGTAAATGTAATTGTTGAAAACATAAATGTCAAGCGCATGTGATGTTATAGTGTAAAAGAAAATCATTTTAAAAACTGTACATACTTTGGCAGCTGAAATTTCAACAAGGCCAGTGCTCCCCATCTCCATCAGCACGGTTGGCTAACACTGCTGGGGGCAGAACACTATGATAAAAATGCGTGTTATTTTATTTTTTTGTATGAGCCATGTGGGTCTTTATTTGCTAAAACATTTGTTTTAAAGCCACTACATTTTGTAAAAACAAAAAAAACAGCTCCTCTTCTTGAAAGAGTTTACCAGCTGAGCAACCACCATGCATTTCCAAACACCTGCTCGGAAAAGGTAGCATTGAACAACATGTAGCTTCCTTCCATCCTATTGTTTGAGCTTGCTCTTATGTTTTCTATGAGGTGCCAGGGGTACATTTTTGCACTGAAATCTATAGTGTTTTAAAACACACACAATTTTCAGCAAAGCAATCCTTTGTGTCATTACATTTATTTACCCATGTGTTTGTACATTTTTGTATGTTAATTTATGAATGATTTTTTCAGTAAAAAGAATACATATTCAAGAACCAAGAGACTATTGATGTCACATTATTTATCAAAACAATGTTTAACCTGCAGGTTCTATGTAGCACAAACCACAGATAAGCCTTAAATGTACAGTTTAGTTGAAACAACTTGCCAGATAGCTATTTTTTAAAAGTCAACTTTTTTCAATCTTCTCCACCCCCACCCCCGCATTACATTCCATGAGATAGTATCTGAACTTTGAACATTATAATCACTGAAGACGGTCAACCTGTTTCTGTTAGAAAGAACATGTGCACACTCTTACTGGCCCTTATTGTTCAGAGAAGTGGCCTGGGTAATTTTCTCCAGGATCGTGAGCCAGGTGTTCTTTGTTCTTATAATTCCAGAATCTCTTTTGGGAAATACATGATTCTTCTGTGGGTTACTTAACAAAGTGCTGCCTTAAATTCATGATACGGTGACTTTCAGACCATCAAAACTAGACCATCAAAACTAACCTTAACATTTGCCCATGTCAAATACAGTAACATGAGCTACTATCTCCAAAGCTTTGTAAAATTGTTAGCAGTAAATCACAATGTTACAGAAACCTCCGATACAATAGTTTCATTAAACCCGGACCAACCTCTTACAGAGGCTGAGCTGCTTTTCAGTCTTCATGGAATTAAGCTAATGCACATGCCACATTTTATTGTGACATCTCAGTGTTCAAGAGAGGCTGTATTGCGATACAGCTTGCATCTTTTCCAGGCCCCTTGAAAATGGATGTAGAGATAAACTAATATTGAACCTGGAATGTAGCATTGTCCTGAAAACACACACCAGCTTTTATTCAGGAGGAGATTTTTCCTATCAAACTGCTAAAGCCTCCCTTTGCTCAAGTCCTTTTGGCACATGGCAAAAATAAAGTACTGAACTATAAGATGTTTTCTCAAAACTATTTACTGCTTGATCATTGGCAGTAGAAGGGATATTTCCATCTCTAAACTAGCAATCTAAAATTGCTTTGTATTCGATATCTGTTGTGAAAATTATAGGGCACCTTGAAATTGGCCAAAGCCTGAGATACAAATCAGAACTGTGGTTATTCACGTAGAAGCTATTGTTCAGTCCTCAGAAATGATAAAGGAGTCAAGGGAACAGACTAGATGCTGTTTAATGCTCAGGAGTTTAACTAATCAGATTATCCTGTGATACAGGTATAATTAGGCTCTGGTAACTTGCAGAGGAAGTGCCTGTTTCTATCACGTCCTTTTTCTTTAGCTGGTGATACTCAAATGTTTTGTAGGAATCATATTCCTTGAAAAGGAATAGCCTTTTGAGTCTGGCTAGTACTTAATCTTTAACAGAGGCAATGACTTTATTAGAGCAATATTAGCTCTATCCAATTATATACCTGCATCAGCAAAAGGGAGGTCTCATAGCCTCCCCATGATTAGCAACAAAAATCTGGGAGTTAGAAAAACAAGTTTTTTGTAAGCTATTGAATGAATGCCTACTTAAACTCTTTGTGGTTTCTGCTTATCATTGGCAGTGTGGCAACATTATGACAAAATAAGAGAGGCCTAGATAAGTACTTGGCAGCTTCTCTTCTTCAAAGCCTGGTGATCTGCTGCTTGTATTCTCTAGTTTCTTAAGTCTGATAAAGGTAAATGTTTTTGTTGCTGGATGGATTTTAGAGATGCTTAATAGTTGCCTGATCTCCCTGTAGAAGCGCCAGCCTAGCTGAATAGGACAGTTCAGTTTTTCCATAGGTGGAAGGTCTTCCACACCTTTCTCTTTCTGCACTGGGGTCCCTTGGGAATCTGCCCTTCACATTCTACACATGGTCCCTGGGTGAGTTCACCAAATCCACTGGCTTTCAGTATTGCCTATGCACAGATGACACTTGGTACTCTTCATGCCCCACACCCCGAATGAGAGAAATCCCATCCTCAGCCAGTCCTGCATCTTCAGATGCCCTCCCTGATGCCTCTGTTTGGCTGCTTTGCCATCATCTCAAACTTGGCATGCCCATAAGCAAGCTTCTCATTATTCCATCCATGCCTTTCCATTCTTCACACATTTTGAACAAGCACACAGACTTGGCTTTAATATTGGACTCTGTACTTTTGTTCTTGATTTTCAGTAATGTATTTTTCAAATATTCTGAAGGAAGAAATAACATTTTCTGTCCCTTTGGCAAAAACTCTGGTCCATGACATAGACTGCTGCTGCGGCCTTGCTCTCTTTGTTTTTCCATTGTCTCACTTTGGAACCCAGAATTTTATCTGGCATTCTGCCTGCAGCCCAACTAACCATCTACATTTCATCTCTGATAATATGGTGGATCTCTTAAATTCTGACATTGGTTTCTCATCAGCTCCTGGTTCCAGGCACAAACTCCTTGTCATTATCTTCAAAGCTCCCTCCCTGGGACTTGCCCCCTTTTCTCTTTGCTCTTATATTTCAATAAACCCCTATCCATGAATGTTCCTCCTCCAACTTATTGGAGGGTTTCCTGCTCTCAAGACTTTCTGCCTTGCTGGCCTTTATTTCCAAGTATTTCCAGAACACCTGTGTGATGGCACCTCTCCTACTTTTGGTGCCCTCCAGATGGTGGGACTGGCCAGTGGTTAGGAATGGTGGGAACTATAGGGCCATATAGGACATAGTAGGTCCATAACCTACTATAACTTAAGTCTGCAACATCTAGACCTAAGTGTGTGTAAGTGAAGCAATGGCATATTTTCTGTTTACCCTTCTATTAATTTCTCCTGTATTCCATTTTAGATTGTAAGCTCCTTGGAGCAGGCTTCTGTCATGCTATGTTCTATGCCATGCACCCCGATATATTTGATCTTGGTTAGGCACGATGGGCTGCTGGTTTGTTGTTGCTGCTGTTCCATATAATAACAGGTGTAGAAGGAGTTTAAGCGGCTGCTCGTGGGTTGTGGTTCAAAATGGCATTAATGCAGGAAGTTATTGATACATATGAACAAGTGGCTAAAACTGGCTTGGTTAACTGAATACAAGCAGCTGCACCCTCTTCCTCCACCTGTTGTGAAACAATCTGGATTACTCAGGATAGAACTATATTTGCTAGGACCAGCCTAGCCTTTTCCTACTGGATCATTTCTGTGGTGGGGTGGATAAAATACTGGCTAAGGTGGCTCTTTTGCCTTTAACAACTATATAGCAGAAATAACTAAGATGTGCAGTGTGTCCCAGCAGGGCATTTAATTCCACCACTCCAGGTAGCTGGGCTTAGAGAAATTAAGCTTCGGAAACCAGCATTCCAGATGAACTGCTGCACTATTTGTTTTCAAACTGTTCCTGCAAACCACAAGGTTCCTTCAAAGGGTGAGGAGTTTCTCAGTGGAAGACAGGCTTGGCATATGCTCCAGTATTCTGCTATAGTAAAGGGTTCCGTGGTAATATATTCATTTTCAATATATTCCCCATTGACTTGTCTGTTGGGAGCCACTATTGGATGCAAAAAAAAACCTTGGATTCTATCCCTGGTTGGCATTTCCTCTTGGAAAAACTCATTCCCAGTCTGCATAGATAGATAATAGCCAGCTCTATGGACCAGTGGCCTGACTCTGGTTGCATACACACTGTACCTTTAGAACACATTCTTTCCCTCAAAGTATTCCGGGCATGATAGTTTAAACTACAGCTCCCACAATTCTTTGTGGGATGTGTTTTGTTTTGAATGTGTTTTAAAGATACAGTGTGTTTGCCTTCTCAGCAAGGCAACTCCTACATTCCTATATCCTAGGTCAGGAGTAGGGAATTTGTGGCCCCTTCAATGATGCTGGACTTCCAGTTCTCACCAGCCCCAGCCATCATAGCTAATGGTCCGGGATGATGGGAGTAGCAGTCCAACAATGACTGAAGGACCACAGGGTCCTTTCTGTGCCCTATTTTATTTTATATGACCAGTTGTTAAAGCACAAGAACCAAACACAACAGACTGAATGGCTATGTTCAACTTAGAGCCATATCTGAGTTTGCTGTACTGATGCTGAGCATGTTCTCTTGCCTGCACGAGTGAAACACTCCTGCAAGCAGAAAATGATTTCAGTTTTGCCACCCAGCGAAACCTACCTGCACACATTTTTTTTACTCCCACACTTAGTGAACATCTGCATGTTTTACTTGGTCTCTGGTTTTGAAATCACTTTCTCTGTATAAGCTGAGAAATTCTTGAGAAGTGATGTCATAACTGCACTCGCTTTCCTTTCCCTCTTTTCATCTCTCTGCAACTAGACTTGTGGTGTCACTCCAGAGAAAGACAGAAGTAGGTGGAGCATCGTTGCCGATGACTAATTCAGTTACAGCTAAAGCTAACTGATCTAACTGGCATTTGTGAGGCAGGGCAAGGTGACTCAGAATGAATGGCATGGGTAGATGGAAAACCCCAGGTGGCCTTTCAACCACAGCATAGCACTGGTGATTGGAAAATACCAGTGTGACGTAAAGGGGAGGAGCAGGAAAACCTGCAGTACAAATCTCATTCCTATTGTCAGTTCTTTGGGTCTTCTTGCACTAAGCTACTAGGAATTTATATGTAATGCACACCTAACAATACACGCCTACCTTACAGAGTGTTACAACATAGGGAAGTCTGTAATGTTTGAAGTTTTTATTATATTAGGCTGCTGAGGAAGGAACTGGGGGAGGAGCCTTAGAGAGCAGTGGGAAAGTGTGGACCTTCAGTCCTTGCAACTGCCTCATTGGGGCAAGACCTACTGAGAATAGTTGCTGTGATCACTTGATCTGTGCTGTCTTAGTTTCTTTGAATAAAGAGTTGACTTCACAGACACCGGGTATTTCATTGCTGACTTTTCCCTAACTCCTGGTGGGTGACAGTTCCTTGAGCTTCTTTCTTCTCCCGTCCTCTCCGGGCAAGGTCTAGATTTTCACAGGACGTTTCCCACCTGCTTTTACTTTATTATTTCTACTTTTTCCTTTTTGAAGCTTCCAAGGTGGCACAGTGTCCTGATCCCCTGGCTGACAGTGCGCCAAGACGAAGCTCTACATCCAGAAGGCAAT